TTGGCTAGGAAAGAGTAGATAAAAGTTGTTTGTTGTTTTATTATCTTCTGTTCTATTTAAAGGACCACTGTGTAGAACACTAAAACTAAAAGTTTTTGGTTTGTCTCTTCTGAGCTACTGTAGATGGAAGTTCCTCATGGTGGACTCCGTAGAGGAGAGCCTGTTACCTATGTAGATAAAATTATTTTTTTTACCTCACAAAAACTCCTCACAAAAACTTAGGACAAACTTGACAATGTTTCCAGTCAGCCCCTAAGAGTCATTTTTCTGTTAGTTTAGACGACTTAAATTACTCAACAACCTACTGTTTTAGATCAGAAACATTAAGTCACTAACTGGAAATAATGAAAATAACATCATGTTGACCATGTTTCATGGTGGATTTCTCCTTTTATATGACTTCCCCATCTCTTTCCTTTTAAAGCAGGTGCAAACAGGTGGAGCAGGATGGAGGGTGAACTTAGAGGCCAAAGAGAAAGATAAGAAGTGTATAGTCAGTGTTAGTTACATTAAGGATTAGGGTTAACCTTTTTGAAAAAGGTTAATAGCTGGCAACGCTCAGTTCAGTTCATAATACACATTCCTCCCCAGGTACTGACCTTCTGGAATTAAATGTAACGTCATCAGCGTCTTGTGTTTTCGGCTCTCACATATCTAACTTTGTCAGGATTATAACCGATGTGTTGCTCAACAGCTGAAGCCACTGTGAAGAGAAGCGAGGAAACACTGAGGGGAGAGGCGAGGGGCTTTCTGTCTGGGCGGAGGGCAAACTCCCAGCTCGATAAGAAAGGTGAGAGGTAAACATTGACCTGAGTCATATCGCTGCTTGTCCAAGTCCATCTTTCACTGGAGAAACTATGCAAACAGCAGGGATGCACTGATAACTCTCTTTCACTCCAAGCAGTAAACCTTAAGTATCGTCTGATAACGAGGACCAGACCCTAGGCGTCACAGTTTCTACATTCATTTAGGGTTGTTCGATGAAAATGATCAATGGAATCAAATTTATCTACTTCAGAACAATCTGTGCATTTCAATGTTGATTTCTTTAAACCATGACCACAATTTGTGGGATAGCGTGTGATAGAAATGTTAGTGGCAACTTTGTTCAGGTTGAACTCTTGGGACAGATATCCATGCTGTCCAGAGGATGAAGCCTAATGACTTTAATGATCGCCTTTCATGTTGCAGCACCAACATGATAAAGTTGCCTTAGATCTCTAAGTGAACTTAGCTCTGATCACATGGTGTCATGGCCATGTGTTGCAGCCCATTCTCATTCCCAGGTCATCAAATACCAACTGTTTGGCCCTCTGCATTTCGTACAATTAAGGTACTGTTTACCATCTGTATGAGAAGCAACAGACACTAAAGGCTATAGCAATATGTGACGCTGCAGGATGTGAGTAAGCACATTGCTTTTTGACGACCTTGTGAGAGACAACATGTTGCAACTTAGGAAACATGTATTGCTGCTCTTTTGGGCCTGTGCAAGTCTACCAGTTATTCGATGTAGGCGCAATCTGGCTCCTCTTAAATTTTTCTTCCAATGGGTTGGGTTTGGACCCATGAAGACCTACACTGGAAAAATGACTTACTTGAAAAAGCAAAAAGCTGCGGGCAGGTCCAGTGGGCAGATATAATCAGGGCAGCTGGGAAACAAAAATGGGAGGATGAAGCAGTAAAACCACAAGAGAAGGTTTTACTTCAGTTCAAACAAAAGAGGGAAGGTAATACAAGATGACCCATCTGTTAATGGCTAACTGGATCAGTACACATGCAGACACAAATGCTGCCCTCCTACATGAGCTTCATGCAAACCTGTAGGCATACATATAGATGTGCACATAAAAAGGCATTTGTACACAAATACATCACCAGAAGAGTGAAATGGCCACTCCACAGTGTCACTTTCCAATTAGGTTGGTTTAACAACCCTTATTAAGATGAATTCAGTCTCTCTCTGAACTTTCCCATTCATCACATTGTTACAGAGGATTATATTTGATAGCAGTTTTGTAGTGCAGTCATCTCCTGGACCAAAATGGATATTGGTGTTTAACCATATGTGTAGGTAATGTTTACAACATCGGTACAAGCTACATGGTTGGTTTCACATATACGACTCTTTAAATACAGCTTTATTACACCGTGATGTCAGAGAACACACACTCATGCATGCGTGTGTAAACATATTCCAACAACTGTCGCTCCAAACATGAAGTCAGGATATTGAATCTCTCTGTGACTCTCACTGTTAATAAGATCCATACAACACATTTCCTGTCCATCTCAGTTGTAAACACAGCACCAGCCTGCTAACATACGGCACCGTCATGTTTGACTAGGACTGTACATGATGCCAGCTATGTCCAATTTAATGACACATGAAACAAACAGGAAGGGGAGAAAAGCTTTAAAACACTATGTTAATGCAGCTTGCAGGGAGATCTGGACAAAAAATAAATACAGCTCTTTCTATATTAAATCCCGTTTCTGCAAATAGATCCTGCTAAGTGTAACACACTGGAGCTTTTAATATATATTTAATACTAATACATCATTTTGAAAGAAAATATAAGATCACTGAAATTTAAAATAAGTTTTGCATTTCCTGTAATATTTTTGTTCAGTGTCAGCCTGCTTCATAGTCATGTTGAGTGAATGTAGCATCTATGATTATTAACATGAATGAATGAAAGGTTTTAGCCACAAAGCAATTGTGACTAAATGCGAAATGTCACTTAAAGCCTCAAATAAAAGATGGATTGAATTTTCCCAGAGAAGAAATAAATAAACCCAACTTTCTCATTTTAAGTAGAAGCCTGTCATGCTTTCATGCATGAGAAACAAAGAGAATATAAAAATGCAGATTATATTATTGCACTTCATTGTATTGTCTGTTTCTGTGTTACAGTATTACCAGTTACTATTTTTGGACTTGTAAATGCAGTTCCTCTCTACATCATTAGATGAGGAACGATTGTATTTATTTGCAAGTTCAGATATTTAAATAAATAAAATAAAACACTAGTGTCTGAAAAGCCATTATTGGCTGATGTGAGCTTATTGCAGATGCTTCAGCTTCAGTGTATAGGTCAGATGATAAACAACAAAGAATTTTGGTCTGTCCACCAGAGGGCCCTGACAGTCTTTCAACTATACAAAAAGTACACTGAATAATTTTTTTTTGCCTGGAAGTGTTACTAATAACTGTAGTCACCATGATGACCTAAATCTTTCCTAATCCTGCTTTCCATCCCACCATTGCTAAAGCACAGTCCAGTTGTTAGACCTTACTTTTCTATCTATCAGATGCATATTATGTAATTACATGAGGATTATGGGAAAACAATATATGTCATTCACATCGATCCCCCACATCAAGAAGAAATAAAAACAAAAATTAGGAAAATAAAATGTTATAATGAGCAAACATTAAGGGTTCAGGTTGACAGTGGCACTGTGAGGACAGATGGTCTGTGTCTCCATCTGCTGGTCAGTTGCTGCACTGCCACAAGGACACCAAATTTTATTTGTTTGGTTGTCTTTTTTTTAATTGTTTAATTGTGTATTTTCAGCAATATATATTTATATATTATTATAAAATATTATTTTTCTAGTGCTTTTAAATACATCTATTTACGTCAGGAACTAAAATGTGCAGAAAATATAATTAGTAGTAGTATAATTAATATTATAAAATATTTTATGGACATTGTTTTTGGTGTCTGGTCAATTGTTTTAGTAAAAAGGACCACTGCACCCAAATAAAAAAAACTTTACTATTCACTTATAGTCATATCTAGGCATGCAGCAAAACTTTGGCACCATGTGGTGTCGTCCTACATTGTGAGGCCTAGCATGTTGGACAACAGACATGGTAGAGTGACAAATTAAAATGTCATGGCTGTACTCCTGCATTTTCACTACAGTCTTTATTCTTGTGTGTCACCCTCCCCTGTGTCTACTGTGCTCCTGTTTGTCTCTGTGTCTGTGTGTTGTGGGTCCCCTCCTGTCTCTCAGCTGTGCTCTTTTGCACACCAGTCTGGAATCAGCTCATCACCACTCCCAGCTCACCTACCTGCTCAGCATCTGCTCATCAGCTCATCAATTTTGGAATAAACCTTCTTAACTTAATGACATCTTTGTATCTGTATCTTGCATTTGGGTCCACCCCTTGATCAAAAATAACAAGTTAGAGCCGTAGCCAACTTTAAGTCTTTTTTATCCCGTTAGAATCATCCAGGTTCTTATTGTCAGTGAGACTCAGCACACACCACACAATTTCTGTTTGAATAGTCCATTTGAAATCATGTTTATACATTTGAGTCTTTATTCTCAACTCCTTCAGTGTTATCAGATGAAGGGTTCATTTGTAAAAGCAAATATATTTTATTTTAATATTGTGTTTATAATCAAACTGGTGTCAGGTTATTTGTTTGAAGAATGTTTGTTGAATAAATCAAATTCTTCACTTGCAATCACGGAAACAGCAAAATAGCGCCATGTTAATAAATCAAGACAGGCAGTAATAAAACTTTAAAGTCGAAGTTAGTTACAGCTTAAAAAAAAAAGTAAGTAAAAATTGAGGGTAGTGCACTCAGATATATTCAGGAGGAAGATAATTGACACTGGAGGTCACACAGGTGTGTTTCAGAGAACATTTTAATGAATCTCATCCCTGATTCTTGATCAGTTTAGCATATTAAATGACAAAATGCATAAAAGATCAGAGAGTTCATCTTTAATATTCAGAAGATGACATTTTAAATGAGTCAGAGGTTAACACCAGCAGGGAACAAGTTCAGCTTGCAACTTGAACCTTTGTAACTGTATTTTTAATCAACATCACAGGTCAAATCTGAGTATAAGCAATCTTTGACTGCGTGACACTCATACTTTTTACCATGGATTACCACATCTACTGGTGTAAACTACAGTACTGTCCATAGTAAGTAATCGAAGTAGTCGAAGCTGCACATAGTGAATTTAGTCACCATGGAAACAAACTCTTCAAAGTCCACTTGGCCATCCAGATTCTGGTCCATGTTAGTCAAGATCTCCCCTGTTTTTTGAGGGTCCTTGCTCCGCTTTGAAAGAAAGACAAATTAAAGACAAGGCCATAAATTTATAATTTATATATATAATATATATTAATTAAATTCTGCAACACCCTCATTTGTACCATTCCCATGAACAGACAGTGAGAGTGAGGTTAGTACCTGGATAAGATCTCCAAGCTCTTCGTGAAACATATTACTCATCTCCCTTCTGCTCAGGTGCAACCTGTCGCCATCTTTTAGTGCGTAGCACTCGAACAGCTCAACAAGGCTGCTCATGGCTGATACCAGTTTACCAGACATGTTTAGTCCTTTGCAGAATGTCTAGGAAGTAAAAGTTCAAATAAATCAGCATAAAACAACTAAATGGTATCATTAAAGTCTCTAAATCTCAGGTGACACACTTGTATTCTTCTGGCCTTTTAGTTCTTGTTCTGAAAGCTAAAAAAACCCCCCAAAAAACCCAGCTCATATTATCTCATCAAACTGGGGCATTATCGCCTCCATTTCTCAGGACCAGATTAAGCATGATGTTGCTGACTTTGAAAGGTCCACAGAAATGTTTGTGTTATTCAAATCAAGACACCACATTATCATAAAGTGGATCTGGCTTCTTTATATAGACTAATCCTTTAAAAGCTTTTAAATGTATGAACAAAATCATTTTATTATGTTGTTAAAACTGCAGCTATGCCTCACTCCTTTAGAGGAAATTTGTTGTTTTCTATACAGAAAATTTACTTCCTTAAGATCCTGACATGAATACTTGGTTTGGTCAGTTTTATAAGACATGAAAGCATAATTGTTTCCACAATGTGTTGTCAGTACAGTACAATGATATTGTCTCTTCTGGCTGAATCATCGAGCTTGTCAAAAACAGTGTCACCATTACCTACATAATTTGTTCATGAGACATGAGTCATATTCCAAGTGTAAAATGCTCAATTCATATTTTGGTCACAGTATCAATAACCAAACTGAACCAAAACATTTGATTAAGAAATTATTGTTTATGTTATATAAAATGAATATTGGCCGATAGATATTTCACAGTTTAAAAATCAGTTTATCAATATAAATATTAAATACCCCTTAAATTAAGTATTACAGTATTAACCTAATTTTGATAGAAAATTGCATCATATGGTTTTGTGCCAGCTGATCTAAAAGCATCCAGGACTACTGCCTGATGGAATTATTCAATTATTGCTATCTCCTATTTATACATACATATATTCATAGACTTGAATATAGAGTCTTAAATGTTCCTTATTGAAAATGCCATTCCAAATATTACCATATATACACTCACCTCTACGAAGCTGTTAAGGAAGATCAGATGATCTCAGGAAGGAGAAATAACATTCACCTTCATGTCATTGCTTTTATAGTGCTGTCAGTAGAGATAAAATCTGGCTCTTTATTCTGATGCCATCTGTTTGGGCGTGGATGCATCTTTATCAGTACATCTGGGTGTGTCATAATGATTATAAACTTTTATATTATTATTATATATATTATATTATTTATATTGCACTATTCTTAATGTCACAAAGTGTTGCACAAAAGGAAAAAGAAAAAAAAAACATTTATATGAGGAATATAAGCGCAGAAGTAAAAACTAACAATAGAATGAGTAACAACAAATAAATAGGAATAAAAACACATCAAATATTCACATAAAAGATTAAAAAGAAGAGTCTCTCAGTTGGGGGCTCCAATGGCAAAAGTCCGATCCACAGAAAAAATGAAACAGATCCATAAAAATGACCTTGGGATTGTCTTTAGCTGGATGAACCATGACTGAACATTTTTGACTTGCTCATCATCACAGGTTTGCATCAAATATTACCCCAAGATTCCTAGCAGCCTGCCTAATATTGTCTGACAGACTACCAAGATTTGCACAAAGTGAGCTCATGGAATAAGGGGGAACAAACAGGATGATCTTCGATTTATCATCATTAAAATTTTGGGACATCCAGGATTTAACGTCAGAGAGGCAAGTTGTGAGGTTTGCTAGGCTGCTCCTTCGGTTTTAAAGGCATGTATAACGTGTCATCGGCATAAAAATGGTACAGCACATCATGTTTTTGGATAACCTGGCCAAGAGGCAGCAAATATATAGAGAACAGAAGGGGGCCATGTAAAGATTTGATATTGTAAATGCAATGATTTTTTCTCTTTCCAGCAGCATCGATGCATTTCCTTTACAGTCACTTAAATGTTTAGTTCAAACCCAAGATACTAATTAACGCTCAGGTCATAGGTCCCAATGGTACAGCATCTTAGGTTAAAAGTCAATTATCCTATTTTCTCTTCTCAGTTTGACTTTTCTCTTTCCATCCTGAGAGAATGATTTGAAGAAATGTATGTGCAGATCGCTTTATGATTTTATTCTGGAGAGATGGTAAAAGCTTGATAAGAGAAGAATTGATTAGAAGACAAGATAGTATGTTAGAAACACAATGTTCAATAATGTATGGAGTGTGCTAGTTTGCTCATGCTTACTTGACAGGGCAACCCAAGATAGAAAGGGAAGGGGAGGGGAGAGAGAGAGGGCCCACAGGTTGGACTTGAACCCATGACCCCTGCAGCAAGCACTCTGGTACATGAGGCACCAGCTGCACCAGCTCAAAAACTTTTGGCTATACGTTTTAATGTTATTATGAATTTGTAAAATTAAACTTTAATCTATTATGTGTTCATTAACACAAGTAGATCATGGAAATGTATTAACAAATGTCTGTTTTTTGCATGTGACTTCTTGTTATCCAGGTTTGTTGGGGTAAGAAAAAAATAAATCAATAAACAGCAAATACAAGGGAATGACTGCCACAATGTAATACACTAGCTTTTTAATGTTTCAGTCTCAGCCTGGCCTACACTTTTAGTACAACTAAAATATGATGTGAAATCAGTGGCGTGAATATAGTTAAGACAGCCATCCATCCTTTGAATTCTTGAGGTCTCTAGTTTGTGGCTGTATACATTTTCATGAAGCTTTGGTCATCTTAGAGGTCACAGTTTTATACAGTGAGGTCAAGTTTCTCTCATGGAAATTATAGAGGTATGGTACAGCGAGGATTCTTGTTCATGTTGCATAACTTGCATGGACATTTTTCATATGACAGGTCACATACATCAGGTAGATGCCTATCTAAACAGTCTTGTGACTCCAGATCGTCAGACAAGATACCTGTCTGTACATCGAGCAGAGGTGTCTTGTTTTTGAGCCGCCACTTCTAGTCTGCACTCACTGCCTTCAACATGGTATAACTGCAAGTTAGTGAAAGCAGTGACTTTATCACACACAATCCACAGTAGATTCGATAGTTACAGACAGGTATCACCTTTCAACTTTTGTTTGTCCCAGGAATGTGACCCTCACGGATAATGATGTTGCATTGTTTTTTTTTCTCTGTGTGTATTGGGTCATGCTGGATGGGCACTATAGTATATGTATGAAAAGGATGAACATAGAGGAAATTATTTAAGTAGTGTATGATGGACACTGGGGTGGATACAATGAATATTTAAGATAAACAATAAGTTAATTAATTAAAAAGGGAGGTAGGAGGAAGTGTTTTACTTCCTTCCTTGTTTCAGACATGTAATAATTATTTATTGTTATTTGGTGGTTAGCTTGTGAACCTAGGTACAGACACAGAAGATGAGGCAGTAGTAAGATACAAGGGTATCTATTGAAAAAAATCAAGTCAGAGGATGGGTGAGGGGCATGTAGAGCTCAAACAGATGGCTTAGGGCTGAGAAATCCAACCTGAGCTGAGAATATGAAGAGGCTTGATTATGGAGAGGAGGTGCAGGTGGAGGTTCAAGCCTGACTCCGGCACACCTGCAGACAATCTCAAAAACACTAGAGGAGGAGAGAGAGAGCGCGAGAGAGAGAGCGATAGAGCGAGCGAGAAAGAGAGTGAGAGTGAGAGAGGCTCCAGGAGGAACATCAGGTGGCTGAAGCTGTCGTCCCAGGGGCATATGCAGCTATGTTACTGAGAATATGTTTGCTGTTCATTCTTTTGGATATTCTTATTTGTCTTCCCTGACTTTGTCCTGCTCCTATTCCATTATTTTATTTATTTATTATTTTTTATGTGACCTAATTAAACCTTCTGGATTTGCAATTGTTTTACAGTAAGGCATATTACATCACTTTACAAAACAGTCACAGACTGCTTATAAACCTGTAAACCAATCATTGTAGGATATATGAGGAAAGGTTTTGAAAAATCTTTCAACTGAATGCAGTTGCATCAAACTCTGCCTGTATTAAAATATCATCACTGTTAATGTTAGTGTGGCGTCATCTGCCTGCAGATGCCAATTGCAGACACTTGATGGCACTATTGTTATGTGATTATGAAGCTGCTGACTGGTCGTTAAGGCCCCTGTCTTTCCACTCTGTGTGGCCTCTTCTCTTTATCTTGGTCCAACAAACATATCGCTGCTTTGCATTTTACAGTCTCTGTTTGCAGCTGCAGCGTCATGCCAACGGGGCTTGCCTTTCTGAGGAGTGCAAGCTGCTGTTACATAATTGAAGAAGCTTCACGACTTTGTAGGGGTCCATATTGAGTTTCTCCAGACTGCATTGTGTGCCGTCCTTTTGAGGGCTGCGCTTAATGCTTCTTCGCCGTACGTGTGTTAATAAAGACAAAGGCTGTCAGGCTCATCGACCCTGTCACTCGTCTGTGCTGCAGTTTGAGTCAAGCTGTGCATTTCATTAAGCTGACTGGCTCTGCTGTAATCAGTTTCACCTCGATGCCAGCTGGAAATGTATCTTTTTAGATATTTTTAGAGAGTCAATAAAATAAAACCTCAATGTCTCTGAGGAGAGCTTTCGAATTTAGATTTTTTTTTCTGTATCTTAGAAGGATCAAAAAAAGCTATATCTTAGTATCTTGTATTTAAGGCTTTTAACTGTGTCTGGTTTTAATAGTCATCCAATTAGTTGTAATATGTGCAGCTATCTACGCTCAACTCTTTAGTGTGGTTTGTCCTCTCTGTCAGTTAGAAAACCTGCAGTTCTTCTGCAGTGTAGGACTCACTGTTTCCCCACTAGATTTCAGCAGTGCCTCTATCTGGAGGTTGGTTAAATTCAGAAAGAGATTAGTTAAAAAAAGGTTAACTTGTTGCATTTCAGATTTTATTTAATGATGGTTTAATGCCATTTTACCGTTTCTCCGTTACATCCTCATCTTTAATATTTGACCTCTTGTAAGTGTTAATGTTTAATGGATTTTTGCCTTTGCTTTTATTTCCCTGTGTACAGAGGTTGCCCTTGAGAGTGAACTGACCTTTTTCACAGCAGCTATTTTGACAGGAAATAGTAGGGTAGGGTACACAGATGTTCCATTCAGGTCAAACAGAGAGAGGGTGCTGCTTGAAATATGCTCTGCTACACTAAATCGAATGGAACCTTAATTCGTATCATTGGTAACACCGGTGTTCACCCTACTACTTCATGTTAAAATGGCTGCTGTGAAAGAGGTCTATTTGACCTCTGTATAAATAAAGATGGAATGAACAAATGCATAAAAAAATTAAGCATAGATTTAGAGAGTGTTTTACATTCTCTCAATGTCACTTATAGGATTTGTTTTAAAAATTGTACTATTGACACACAAGGCATTATATGGCCAGGCCCCCTTTCTGACTGCAGTTGTTTCAGATCCTCAGAGCAGAGATTTATGGCTGCTTCAACATCAAAGCTGAAAAACAAAGGTGATCATGCTTTAGCTGTGGTTGCTGTTCGACTCAGAAACGGCTTCCTTCAAAGACTCAGAGAAGCCAAATCAGTCCAAGGCTTTAAAAAGGAGATTTTATTATCTGGGCTGGACACTTAATTCTCCTCTTTTTTCAGTCTTTCATGTCTCTTTTAATCCTCTGCTTTTCTAAATTCTTAATATCATATTATCAAAATATCAAATCTGGTGACTTGTGATGTGTGTGACATTTATAATTATTTATGACTTGATCCAAGCCATTGATCCAACAATCTATAATAAATGGTAATAACCAGTGCCTGCTACCTTCATTTCTAAAATAGCAACACGAACAACCAAACATGCAATGCAAAGTCACAATCCAGTTGCATTATTCCTGTGAGATAATGGATACGAGATGCAGAAGAGCAGAAGATGATGTGATGGATGATGTAGAGTGACTCAGCTGTTCTGATGGAGAGTCATGCTGCAACACCTGTAAAACTGCCTTACTGGATGTTTATGCTGGTTTAAAAGTTGCATGGGGTGGGGGAAGTGTGCTGATTTTACACATACAAGTCTATTTATATTATTATATTAGGTCTTGGCTTGTACTACTGTATATATGTGAAAAATTTGTATGCTATAAAGCCTTTTTAGGCTCCAGCGGGAGCCACACAAAGTCTGTTAAAGTCTGTGTTGGACCTAAGGACTACAAAATAAAAAAAATAAAAAACTGTCTTTATGGAATTGGAAAGCCAGACAATAGCCTGTAGCTGCTCCAGGCTATATTAGACCCAACTGACAGTGGTTGAGTTGTATTGTGGGTAATGTAGGCACCAGGTTTTGACAAGGAAGAAGAAGATTAAAAATAAAAAAGACTATATCTTTGGGTCTGCAGCATTTATTTTGATACTTTTTTGTTCATCGTGAGTCCAACAATGTTGTACTGCAACTGTGCTGTAGCAGTACTCTTTAAACATTAACATTTTACGCCTTGATGCGAGTATTGTCACAGCTGAAAATGAGATATGTTGCAATCAGGAAAGAGACCACAAGTAAACAAGGATGCAGGAACTTCACCCTAAAACGACTATGAAAGAATTGCTATGAAGCGGGTCTTGACACAGGTGATGGTAGGGTGATGAAGACTGCAATGACGACCAAACAGCTAGGGTTGTTAAATTTGGGAAATATTTGAGAAGAGGCTAAAACTTTCATATCTGTCTGTTCAATAGTTCCAGTAGCTGGTTAGCTTAGCTTAGCATAAACACTGGAAACAAGGGAGCTTGGCTCTGTCCAAAGATAACAACATCCACTTACCAGGATCGCTCAAGCTCACCAATTAACATTAATATCTTGTTTGCTTGTTTCAAACAAAAAAAAAGTGTGATTTCCTGCAAACCTGAAGTGCCAAGAAATAGCAGTTTTATATTTACCACACTCATCTAAATTCTACAAGAAAGACTTGGGACTAATTCTGGTGAAATTGTTGGATTAAAATGGAGAAGTGGAGGAGCAATGATGAATTTTTATTTATTTGAATCTGTGAATTGGTTTTATCTAGCTGTTGCCAAGAAAAATGATTATATATCCACAAAGGCCTGTGCCTTGATAATCTATAATAATAATAATAATAATTTAAAATGAAACATTTCAAAAAGGGACCAGTAAACACTGCTTTGGGAGTAAATTATGGGTATGAGTAAACTATGTGTTTGTTCGGATTCATGTAATTCACAGGTAGCTCAGTCCTTCTATTTCTCTGACTTCATCTAATTTCAGAGGAAATACATTACGCAATAACTCTGGCAAAAAAGGTCAAACCATCAAGCACCTGATATAATGCAACCTTATGCATGTGAACACAAGACCATTTCAGAGACAAATTCAAATGGCTTGCAAATGATCTCATAAGTAGATAAAAGCCTCTGTTGGCTGCAGTGCAGGTTGCTTCAATAAATATTGGTTTAATCAAAGTGACTTTACAGTATTTTTTCTCTGATATGATGAACAGCCATAATGTGTCTGATGAATGAAAGTCGACGTCTCAGAGCCTTCAGAATGCACAGCGAGCATTTTCATTTCAAACAGGAGGAGCAGAGCAGCTGGATGAGCAGCGCACTGTTGAACTGGGAGGATGGGTTGACATCAGGACCAGCAGGCTGACGCTGGTTCCCTCCATCAGACACTGGGTGGTGCTCAAGCACGCCTTCATGTAATAGGCCTCGGCTGTTTCATGTTTTCATACTGTACATTAATCAGGTTTCATAATTTTCTTGATGATTGATTTTCAATTGTTATAAGTATTGAAGAATATATTTTGTTATTATATATTTAAAAACTGCATCTGAACAATGGACAAAGTTGTTAATAACTTAATAAAGGTTTCATTCCCGGCTAACGCGGCTGCATTTGCAGTCTAGTGTCTGTCTGCTGCCATCTGGTGGAGGCAGAGTAGACTTGTTGGAGCAGAAGATAAACCTGCCTTGTACTGGCTGCAGTATCATGACACCAGAGCTTGTGTTTCTGAGGATTCTCTGCATAAATAGCTGTCAGACAAGCTCCTGTTTCATGATTAATGAAGCTTCACAACTTTGTAAGGGCCGATATCGAGTTTCTCCAGACTGCTTTGTGTGCGGCCCTATTAAGGGCTGCGTTTAACCTTAAATGCTTCATTGCTCTACTTGTGTTAATGAAGATGGAGGATGTAAGGTCGCCTCTGTCACACATCAGTGTTGGAGTTTGAGTTACACTGTGCACATTGTGTAGCTGTTTTGGGAGTGAAAGGTTAAAGTGTCCCTTCTGATTAGTATTAGCATTCACACCTTAAGTTTTCAGCAAAGATTTCCCAAATCTAGACATTTCTCTTTAAACCTACAGTTTCTTGTGGACTTAACTTAAACCTGGTTCCTTTGTGTTTCATTACTTTTTGCTGCCGGTCAGACTAAAGGAGCAACTTGTGATATTTGTCATTTCTGACTAATGTAATGTGTCAAAATAGTAATACTGAAAATAATGTGGTTCTTCCCTAACTTGTGTTTGATTTTGAATCACAAGTAAGCAATGGGTGTAACATAGCTGTTGTAAACAATATAAAACATTCCAGTACAAAGTCCTGTGCTTTAATATGTCTGCATTCTGTATTTAAACTGAGTCAACACTGGGCTGAGGGATTAATTATGATCTCAATATTTCTTACTTTTCTGACTGGTAGGCATTTGGGAGAAACTGTTTTATTGAATTACTCCAAAAAGAATAGTGTGCAACCCTATCTATACAAAGACAAGAGCAATTCAGAAACAAATTCAAATGGTTTGACAATTATCTCATTATTGCATAAAAGCCTCTGCCTGCCGTGTGTCGCTTCAATAAATGTCTGTTTTATCTGCTAGTCAAAGTGACTTTACAGTATTCTTTGATATGAGCAGCCATAATGTGTGTGATGAATGAAAAGTCTCAAGAGCCTCCAGGGCTGACGTCATTTAATGTGCCTAGCCAGCGCTTCCCTTTCAGGCCAAAACAGGAGGAGCAGCAAACTGCAGGAAGGGCTGACGTCAGGACCTCGGCAGCTGGCTGACGTGTCAGCCAGTCAGGCACTGGGTGGTGCTCGAGGTTGCCGGTAAGTCCACATGTGAACAAGTCTTATTACATTACATACATGTACATATAATGAATAAAATCTTAAAATAAGAGACTTGAAAACAGGATATCATTTTATTAAGGCAGAAGACTTTAAGGTGGTTGGGATGCATCTTTTGCAACATTACAAGGTTCTGTGGGTAAGGAATGAGTCAAACCTTTACATCCAACATGACAAACATTTATTGATTTAATGTGAAATATTATAATTTCAGTCTTTCTTAGAACCACGGTCCTTCTCGTCTTTCATGCAGCTCTTATCACAGTCTTTGAAGAATTCATGGCAGGCGACACTCAGTGCAGCAACCAGAACAATAAACTCCTGGAAGTCCACTTCACCATCCTTGTTTTCATCCAGGTCACTCATAATCTTGTCAATCACATTGGGGTCTTTGCTGCACTAAAATAAAAAAAGTGTCATGATGAGAATCAAACAAAGAGAAATTAGTCTCAGCTTCACATACTTAAAATGGTAAATGGACTGTACTTATATAGCGCCTTTCTAGTCTTTCGACCACTCAAAGCACTGTACACATGCCACACTCATCCATCCACACACATACACTGATGGCAGCGGCTGTCATGCAAGGTGCCAACTGCTCATTCGAAACAGAAACTAAGTGCATTCACACACATTTAAACAATCTCTTGCTCAAGGACACTTCGACATGCAGTGAAAACTTTCTGATAAGTGGCCACCCCGCTTTACTTCAGAGCCACAGCCACCACTTAAGGTACACTATATGGCACGTACAAGGGATTTAGGAGAATTTGTGTTGCGATCATATACAGACTGTCTCCACTATTGGCTTAATCTGAATGAATTTGGAGTAAAAAAAACAAAAACTGAAATTAAAATAAACAAAGCAAAACGTATTAATGTTGTGAAAATGTCTCACTCTGACAGCTGCCTCAGGGTCTTTATTCAGGTTGCTGTCTGGTTTCCCCTCTGTTAGAACTAACCTACTGAAGACTACAATACTCTGTTCATTATTGACTGTCACGTTACCTTGGCCGTCTTTCATATTAGTCGAGGACTGCTTTTCTTTAGAAATAAAGGTTTTTGCATCTGTAATTCAGGCAAAACCATTCCATATTTATTTCTGTCACAGTACTACACTTCCCTGATGACACATTGTTGGCAGCTGTATTCATATTTTCCAATTATGGGTCCTCCGACACAACTGACACTGCTAAATGTGTTATCTTATTGTTTACCAATTTCTGACAGCAGGACTTGAAGCTGTGCAGTGTGAAATTGTTCGTTTTACACTTTGATAACATTTTTGTGAATGAACCTGCATGCAAACAGAGCAGAACAGGCAGTCTTACATGGAAATGTTCAGGGTGTCAGTGATGGCAGTGATGAAATCTCCTTATGAATAGGTGGCATTCATCAGGCTGAAACCAGCTCGATACTGGCATTTCATTTGTATTTATGCATTATCTTTAGAATGTCTTTTTTATTTGTTATTGTAAATGTTCTGTTTGTCTATTTATGCTTCTTGACTTGCAGTTCTTTTGTATTTTTCTTGTTCTACGTTTGGTATGCACGAATATACCAAGGCAAATTTCTTGTATGTGAAATAAACCTAATTCTAACTTACTGCAAGTATTGTGATGCGACACAAAACTTTTGGTTACATGTGGGACATGAAGATTCTTAATCTGCAGAAGTCTATTACTATTTTTGCCTTTGGAAAACAAGATACTTACTGCCATGAAGTCGGCGAGTTCTCCCTGCAACAGGTTCTTCAGTTCACCTTTGCTCAGCTTGTACTTGTCACCTTCTTTTCCAGAATAGGAATGGAACACATCGATGAGGCCCTCCATAGAGTTTTGCAGGTTGCAAGCCATTTTTCTAGTCCTTGAGTTAATTCCTGGAAGAACAAGTCAAAAGAGCCACTCTTTAAAATATATTAGTCAGAGTGTGATTCAGAACTGTATGCAGAGGACCAGCAGCCTGAGAACCTCACAGAAACTCCTTACTGGGCCTGCCTAAGATGTAGTTTAGAATTAATTTATACATACAACATACACCGATCAGCCATAACATGACCACTGACAGCTGAAGTGCATAACACTGATTATCTCATTATCATGGCACCTGTCAGTGGGATTTACAAGACAGCACTATGACTGATCAATGTATATAAACACTGACTGAGGAGCCAAGTCCAGAACTGTTATTGCAGGGTTCAGACTCAAGAGAAACAAAAGAGACATGATACAGGACTCAATGAACTTACAAACAAAAAATGACCACATCTATTGTGTGTCTCACAGCTGCTGAGATCTGTGTCACACTCACACAGAAAATGGAGACGGAAGGAGGTCAGGAATGACAGTCAAGAATGACTGTCAAGAGTTTTAAAAAAAAAAAGGAAGAAAAATGTTTCAATATCTAGCCTTACACCTGCCCTTCACTGTCAGACACCTGAGAAGCTGCTACAGGGGGGGCTGAGTCATTTAACCCCCCACCTCCATGAAGCAGTGGAGGACAAAGGGCAGACCCCCTTGCAGGGCAGGTTGCACATAAAATAGATTTAGATGGTGTCTTGCATTACCTTCCATAAACTACCGGATGCCTTCACGCTGCGGATTACCGGTTGGTCATGTTTCATACTGATGTTTCTCATCTATACGAGGAGAGACGCGCTCTGGTCAATAATGCAGGTTGCTCTATATACCTGTCTGAGTGTGTGAATGACCGACTGCCCATCCACAGACTGAGAGCAAGATCCTGCATCCCTTTTCTGTACGCCACATCCCCTTAATTAGTCTCGATAATTGCGTTAATTATCTATTCCTGCCTCGATCAGGGAGATAATTAAAAGGCTTTGAACGTCAAATGCAAAGCTGGTGTTAATTAACTGAAGCAGAGACTAAAGCACCAAGATTTTGGAAATGCTTAAAACAGACTGCAGATACCAAGTCAAATGAAAATAATTAAATAAAATAATTACATAAAGACTACATCACTTTGCACGTTTTACCATTTCTTTCTAACCGCTCTTATCTGTATAGCTTCTTTTTAAAAATAAAACGAACACAAAGAGCAGGAACTCACCTGAACACTGATGCTAACAGGTGCTGGAGGAAGTGGCTTCAGCTCTCATCTCATCAGTTATATGGGCTCTCTCACCTGTGTGCAAATACATCCAAATCAGATAGGCGCCTCCCTCCAGACAGCAGCGGCCACACCACCTGCTGCACAGGGGAGCCATTTAAGGCAACCACAGGCCACTGCACAGCACAGTGAACTTTATTGATAACTTTACCTGACCATAGCAGGAAAAGTACTGCTGCAACCAGTAACAGGAGTAGCTGGATGCTCCGGAGGACAAAACTGGAATTACTGGTTTAGGAGCCAGTGAAGAAAATCATAATAATCCATCATTGAAGAGTAAAAAACAAACCAGAAACCTCTGTGTTATCCTGGATTCAGACCTACATTTCAGTAGTTGCATTAAATCAATAACAAAATCAGCCTTCTACCACCTTTAAAAATATCTTAAGGATAAGAGACTTGAGGTCAGAACATGATCTGGAGAGACTAATACAGTACATGCCTTTACTGGACTAAAGTAATGGACTCTTCACAGGTCTGTCTAAGACAGCAATCACACAGCTGCAGCTGACCCAGAATGCTGCTGCCAGGGTTGTGACAAGGACCAAAAAAAGCACAGCTTATAAGTCCAGTTTCCAAAACACTGCACTGCCCACCAGTTTCTCACTGAATCAACTTCAGAATTCTACTGCTTGCTTATCAGTCACTGAATGGTTAAGGTGCAAAATACTGCTTGTGTGCTTGCTCTTATTCCTTTTATCATTTGTTTCTTCTTTTGCTTGTGCTTTTGAACACTGTAAAGCACTTTGGGGTGCCTTGGGTATGAAATGTGCTATTCAAATACATTTGCCTTGCCTATCAATGTCTGCCAGTAGCATATGGACCATAGCCATCACCAATTGTATTGGTTACATTTCACTTAAATATTCAAAAACTCCCAAGATGTCAGTATTCAAGCAAAAATTGTTATGGCTAACATGTTACTGTTCTGTTCCATTCAGGTCAAACTGAATCAGAGTGTTGTTATTGTGTATGTTGCCTCACTGTAAATGCTCTGCTACACTAAATGGAACAGGAAATGTTAGGAATTAGTATCATTCGTAACACCTGTGTTTACCTTACTCCTTCATGTCCAAGTGGCTTCTGTGAAAAATGTCTATTGCCTGTTTAGACATCGAACTGATATGGTGCACAACATTAGCACTTGGAATCTAACTGGATAAATGGGATTATTTTTTTAATCAAAGGTCAAACAACATCCAAAAAAATGCTCAGTGATTAGTGATCAGAGGTCTCTCTTTAGGATTCAACCTCTTATAATTTCATTATGCATTATTAATTGGTCTGTATATGTAGTTAATATTTGATTAAACTTCTCATAGATTGTTTTATGAGTATCATGACTGTTTTCCTTTGTATCTGCCCTGTTTTCTCTGTGTGCCCTGTTCCAGGTACCACCCTCCCCTTCGACTGGCCAGGCACACCGGCAGTCAATTAGTTCATCAGTCCAGCCGACTTTAAAAAAGAGCAACAGCAAGCAGATGGGGCTAGTGGGCCAGACAACTGTGTGTGTTGCTCTCTGCTGTGTCTTTACTCCCTCAGTGGAGAGTGGCTAGTGTTTGACTTGGTTAATTAATAGTTTTATCTTCATAGTTAGTTATATTCATTTTTGCTTTTGAAGAAAGTAGACTTTAGTTGAGACTTTGAGGTTTTCATCTATATAGTTAATAAACATATTTTTGTTTGTACATATAATTCAGTTTTTCTGTGTTTCTTTCTCTCCTCTCCCCTGTATTAAACATCTGAGGTCCTTACAATTATGGGGGCTCGTCTGGGATACACAAAATGAAGTGTGAAGAACAATGAATAAATAAACATACACAAGTGCTTTCTTCTTTCTTCTTAACATTAACAATATGTTTTCTGTGTACAATATTAGAAGGTTACCAATGAATACAAGAAATGATTTGGTCATTTTAGGTCAAAATAGATGTTAATCATTTGAATCCGCTTCTCAGGGAAACTCCATTGCATTTATAGTATAGCTTTAACACAAAATTCATTATGACCTGACCTCTGTTAACCTATACAGTTTTATCTTTAGGAGCTTTGCGAATATCTGTGTGCAATATGCCAAATATAGCACTCCAAAATGTCTTCATTACTATTTGGCATTTGCCTCCAGTGCTACTGACAAATAATACAAGAAATGGGCTGAAGCAATTACTACATTTTTCCTGCCATAACTTTTTTCCCTGTGTGTTGCCTGTGTTCATTTTATTAGGCCTTACTTATGCTTATTTGCAATTAAGGGAATGATTATGCTTGAATGACAGTGCAACTTGAGTAGCAATACAAATTAAGTTCAGGCCAGGCAACCAAAATCCTTTATTCACTGAATGCAAACCATTGGGGTTGATTTACATTGGTATCTCAAGTTGACCAGTATAAAGGCTTTATGGATATTTGCATGCTTCTAGTTAAACATTTAACTTGGGGCTTCATTTCTCAAAAGTAAAGTGCATTTAATACAGCGCTGCAAAGAAAAAAAGGGTCACCGGAGTTATGAGATAATTTGGTAATCTTTGACTATTCAGCTTTCCATTAGAAACACAAATGTATCTTATGTACCCAGAACAATATTATATATACAATATCTCATTGATATGCATAACTACTTTTTACCTTGGTGTCTGTACAAATTTTAAAGACTAAAAATGTCTCTACTTGAAACAAGTAATGTTTCAGAAAGCCACAAACCAACTGAGATCCACAAGAAGTGGATGGGTGATGTATTTTGTGTACAATCAAATAAAAACACTTTTAGTCATGATTGTAGAAGTGAAATTACATCTATACAGCAGAGAAATAATGAATTAAAATCAGGCATATATTGTAAATTTCTATTGCGTCTCTAAATGATTGAACACTGTAAAGCACTTTGGCACTATATGCCTGTTTTGCATAACTGATTCTGGACACAAAACGTTTAAAATAACGTTTTTTAAAACTGTAAAAAAAAATTTTTTTTAACAAAACTGTAATTTCATGTGTTCCATGGTAGCATTCCTTATATTCTGAAAGTGCATTTATTACATAAAATACTTCACATATACAGCGGTGAGGACTTGTGTGGCCTGATTACTCATCATAAATGCAAATACATACCAATTCAGCATTATTTTCTGACATACTGTCTGTACTCCTGCTTTCTTTTTACTCTTGCTTTCTTTCTACAAGTTCAAGAGTGTCATCTACTGGCCATTTGCAAACTCTGCAAACTGCCTTACATGTAAAGTCAGGGTTTCCAGATACTGACTAAATACCAGAGGTGTGGACTCGAGTCACATGACTTGGACTCGAGTCAGACTCGAGTCATGAATTTGATGACTCGACTTGACAGAAGAGACAAAGAGTAGTTTCAAATACAATTCATGTGTGGCTATAAGGGATTTTCTGACATCTGTTTAATATGCTTACCTCTTACAGATTTGAAGAATACCAGATGAACAAAAGCATCATAAATGAACCACAACAGCCTTCAATCTCACAATTCCTGGACTGTCGTGTAGGGCATTACAGCATGAGTCATTCACAGCAGAAAGCTATCACCAATGCAATACTGTGCAACTTGATGATTGTTGGGACCACTCCAGCACTACAGCTAAGTCACCACCTTGACATAGCCGAAGGATAGAACGGCCTTGTTGCATTGAACATGAAGTCTCTTCCTTCACTCTTCCGAGTGGCCATGGTGGCATTATACTACGTCCCCATCGTGCACAAATGACTGACAGACTCTTGGCCAATTTGATCTTTTGCAAATGCAATGCCGCATAGGGCCCTGACATAGAAAAAGCACAACCCTGTTCATTGTTATGTTCATGAAGTTGTTATCCCCCCACCACCCGTCCTTACACACACACACACACAGACAATATGAGATAAAATAAATACAAGACAGGACAGAAACTGCTGTAGAACTAGTTATAGTGCAATATGCTATACAATGTCAGCACTTTTTGTGCAAATAATTACATTTGCATTTGTTTTTTGTAAATGTGTTTGAAGAATGTTCTTGCAAAAAAAGTTTTGATAAATAAATACAGATCCTAAAAGCATACATGATCTGTGCAAATATCATTACTCTGTAATGACTTAGTCCCACCTCTGCTAAATATTGAATGTGAAATGCTTTCAAGGCACAAGTGTGAGCTCAACTCACTCAAATGAATCCTTATATAAGAGCTACTGTTGTCCAAAGTATCGTACAATAAAAAGGCTTACAAACAATGATAAAGTATTTACATTTGCCTACTGTCCATGGTATGCTTCAATCAGTAACATAAAACAAATTACAAACAAATTGGAATAAAACTTGCACATTAGCCTATAACATTACTTTACATTCATGACATCTAGCACACATGTTACTTTATAACACTTTAGTACTTGGGTTAGTACTGGCTAATATTGGTTTTATAAATAGGAAACTGTTGGACAACTGGACAAAATCAAGTTAAGACAGCCATTTGCTAGCAATCAAATTTGTATTTACCTGACCATGATGCTTAATCATTGCCTGTATTCAAAAGCTAACATGGAGTGTTGAATCCAATGATCTACCAACATTCACTAGTGATTTTGGGCCAATCTCCCTAAAACACAACAACTATAATATAGCCTGTGTGGCCTTTGGCTCGGCCCTGGAGTATCAGAATTGGAACATTCATGATCTCGTACCTCTGAGGGCCAACAATGTAACAGAACACAGTCTTTTTTCAATGTGGCTCCTGTCACCACATCTTCCTAGCACCTCGCTTGTTATCCAGAGTGCGACATGGGAGATCTCATTTGAGCCATTGAGTTTGTGGCCTTTCAGCGCCTGTCAGCAGGGCAACTGGCCTGAGAAGCTCAGAGGGAGTGTGGAGTAGAGGGCATCAGCTCTGGCCTCAGGGATAACATGACAGAGTGCCATAGGCAGAAAGGGATCATGTTTTTGTCTGTCATCATAATGAGACATTGGCTTTTGCTTCCAGCATGATATAACCCGCACACAAAAGTTCACTTGAGTTCAGGCCATTACTGAGACAATACTGAAGGAATGTGAGCAGTTATTAGCGCAATATTAATTTTTTCTCAAAATGCTACCACAGGGATTTGTCTCTGATTTGACAGCTCATCATTATTCCTGTTAATAATTTCCTTTTGAGATTTTGTCTCTTTGTCTACATTAGGTGTTGCTGTATCTGGCCTCCTATCTATGAGGGGCCCAATCACAGAAATGCCTCCTATAGATGATGTTCTGCTCTTTATACTGTGTGCTCCATCTCGGGTCATTGTCGGTTTGCCTAGAACACTCTTCAGCTGCGACCAGAAAAATGCCTGCTGGTTGACCTGCTGGGGCCACTCTAAGTACGTCTTGGTACTCAGCATCTTCTTAAGCTTGCAATACTTGCTGGGCAAGGAGCTGGGATCAATGGGTTCCTTCACCACTAGTATGACATCACTGAAGGTCTTTCCCATTGCTCTCTGCTGAGCGAAGTAAAGCTCATAGTTGCACCACTCGCTGTTAACGAAGTGCCGGGAGAGGACAAATATTACCTGAGGATGGACACAAAAAATGAAAACATGGATTACAATTGCACTATAATAATCTATTTCACAGAGTATATGATGAGCCATGGGTTGTGTTAGTTAGTGAGGGAGATAGATAGATAGATAGTATTGTTTATTGTACTGGTTCTGATGAAAACTGGCATTTTCAAAAAGGATTATAATGCAGAATATAGCAGGGGATCTCAAAACACTCTAAACCTCTGTACACCACTTCACTGAATTGATGGAATCACAAATTCTCCAAGCTGAACAACCAATCATAGGGCTCTCTTTTACCATGCCTGTCAGACACTGATTTAACTTGTTGAATTGCATAAATGACCACCATAAAGGCAGGCGACAGACAGATGCTCAACGAAGGCCTTCAGAGTATATAATTAATCACTTGCTTCTTCTTCGGACATAATGAATATCACAAAAGACATCAAGTTTTCACGTAAGTTTTCAGATTACTTGAAGAGCACCTAAGATGACAGTGGGAATTCCCAGAGGGGAAGTGCCTAGGGGAAGTCAATACCACAACTGAATAACACCGTCACCCAACATGGCCCAATCCTGCCATATGCAAGGAGGGAAGCACTGCTTTAGAGACTCAACTCAAAAACCTAAATCAATAGGAGAAAATGAGCTGGCCTGGTTGGTGATTGTGCCATTGTCAAACTAGCTCAGTTGAGACATGATTTGAAAACATGAAAACTTCTTCAAAAACCGTTTGCCCAAACTAGCTAGAAGGTTTCACTATGAGTATTTTCCTTAAATCCTTATCTTAAACGTATAAATAAATAATAAAATAAAAGTCTTTACATAGTGTACGGTAGCTGTTGTGTAATGCTGTATTCTGACATGTACAAATCCAACTATTTTTGGTACCTTACGACTGCTTTCAATGTTGTCAATTATGTTATCGATGATCCACCTTCCTGGCATGAAGTCCCTCTCATGAATACACAGACGATAGGGATCCTTGTTGTTCTCCAAACAGGGCAAGAGCTGGTCCCTCACCCAGTCCGCATCAGAGTGGCAATAGGATATGAAGGCATGATAAGTAAAAGTTCCTAATTCTCCAGCCATTTTTTCCTTGTGAGCTCTGTATTTGGCCCTGATGATCTGATACGTGGCTTTAGTGTACCAGGGGAGGTCAAAAATATAGCAAATGAGCATCAATATCAAGATAACTGCTGCAGTGGTCGCAACACAGATGATGATAACTAGTCTGATATCACACGCCACTTGACCTGGGAAGTATTTGGATATAGCTGTGTTGAGCAAAGCTTCTGGGTGGTAACACTTATAGTTCCATGGCCAGTCTGTGAGGTTAACCTTTCCTTTTGACATTGTGTCCTGGACAAAAGCATGGAGCTCACAAGTACAATGGTAAGGATTGTTCCCTGCCCTCAGGCGAGAGAGTTGAGGCATGTCCTCGAAGGACTCCTTGCTAATAAGACCAAATGAATTCCCATCCAAAGCTAGTGACTGCAGTGATGGACTTTCCCACTTAGATGGGATGAACTTGATTTTATTCCCACTCAGCAGGAGTTCTTTCAGGTTGGTGGCTTTCTCAAAGTATGTTATGTCCAGGTGATCCAGGTTGCAGTAGGACAGGTCCAAGTATTGCACTGTGGTGGGGAGACAACAGAGGGCTTCACTTATGAATTGATTGTGGTGAGCGATAAGGCGAGTGATATTTTTTTGCCAAATGCAGTCCTGACAGTTTTCAGCAGATCCCAGTTTGTTGTTGCTAAAATCCAATACCTGCAGCTGATGGAACTCCCTTGTTAGGGATGACAAATCTTTTAAGCTGGTCAGGTCATTGTTGCTCATGTTAAAGGTGTGAAGACTTGGCATGGTGCCCTTGTAATCACACTGCTGGTTGAAGAGAAACTCATTCTGTAGTCGATTATTGGATACATCCAGAAACTCCACACCTTCCATCTCAACCCAGGAATCGCAAGGCACAGAGTTGAAGTACACGTACTGAATAGAGAGTTCCTTAATTTTGTTGAACCAGGTGAAGCGCCAGTCAAATCGCAGCACATCAGGATTGCTGATATACCTACAAGAAAAAAAAGATTTGTTGTGTTCTGTATATACAAATTAAAAAGCAAATACTTACAAATACAAGTGTGCGGCTTGACATTTATTTGACATTTGGCAACTAAAAGTTGCAGCTGGTTAAATGTGCAAGCATTTTGCTCATAATGTTGGTTTTGGTTGAATTTGAACTGAATCCTGGAAGGTCTAAATACTTATACCAAGCGAATTCTTGAATTAAATTAACTTACAAATGATGGGGATCATGGGGCAGGGTCAATCTATCATAAATCTATAAACATATGACATTATGTCAAGCAAGTCCTAAATTTCACACCAAATGAGAAATACTGGCACACAATCTCCCAAATCAAGAAGATACTTACCAAAGATCCAATTTATCCAGTGCCAGGTCTGTGATGCTGGAACCTGCTCCACTATTGACAAATGTGGGTGAACGGGCAAAGTCGATGTACTGAAGTCTCAACCTTTTGATAGGGGCGACTTGTAAGTTTATTAAAGCCATCCTCAGGAGATTCTCATTGAATTTACCTCTGTGAAAGATGAGCTGATGTGCTGTGATGTGTTTTAAACCCTGGAAAATGTCCTCATCTCCCATGTAGTACATGAACTCAAATAGGTTGCGGAACTGGATGACGCTGAAGGTCTTGTTGGCAAGGTCATGTAGCATGTGGAGGAGAGCGTTTGGCCGTTGATCTATGGCCATATCAAATCCCATCTGTTTTGTCTGGATGATTTCTAAACTTCCAGGCTCGTAGTAACTAAGATTGGAAGAACATTTGATGGCAAAAACTTCTAACTTAATGTTTTTCAGGGGCTGAAAATCCGCTTTCTTTAGACCCATCACCAGAGGGCCACCCATAGAGAGAACTTTGAGTTTGACAAATTTGGAGAAGCTGTCAGCCAAAGTGACATGTTTGTAAAGGTTATTGGACATTTTGAGCTCCTTTAGATTCATGAGAGGAGTCAGAGCTGTGGCAGGAATTTCTTGCAGGGAGTTATTGAAGATGTCAAGCTGCTCCAGTAGTATGTTGTTTTTAAAGGCATCATTGTCAATGTGTGAAATGTTATTGTACCGCAGTTTAAGGATTTGAAGCTTAGGGAGGCGGAGGAAGTCCTCAGCATAGACAGCTTGAAGTTTATTGTAAGATAGATCTATGTCCTCCAGTGTGGATGGAAATTGTTTCCATGGGACACCTTCAAGCTGTCTTCCCAGACAGTCTGCAGAGCGGCCAGAGTTGTAGATGTGACAGACTCCTTCGTCAGTGCTACTGGTTGGGGATGGAGATGGAGTTGGGGATGTGAATGCTCCAAGAAGGAGAGCACCAAAATGAAAAAATGTCCAAATCATCTTGAAAGACCTATAAAGAAATAAAAAAAAGGAGAGATTAACTGCTGGCATTGTATTCTTCATTCCAATGAAAAAGTGGCAGGACAATGACCTGATTTGTTTTTTGAAGCTAATTATTTCTTTCTTTCTCCCTTTTTTGTGTTTTTTATCCTCTTTTTTCTTATTTTTCTTACCTTTAAATCAGTTCAGAACATTTTGAGATCAAAAGTTGTTACTTGACAGTGAAGCTAAACATTTTTCACATTTTATTTTGGATATTATTTTACTTTTGACTATTGAGAAAAAAATTGCATCTATTAAATATTCAGTTTTAAGAACTTATTCCACCACTCTGTCTCTCTATGACACACCCACTCACAAATGTGTCTTTGCGGAATAAACTGACAAATAGTTTCTTGTGCAGGGTAAGCAAAGCTTTCGAGAAAAACAATAAACTACATACATTACTCTGCAGTCATGTTGTGCTTTCGGGTAGCAAATCTGCTGGGGAAAGAGACTCATCCATATGAAACACAACACTTCTAGCATTATACACTTCAGTACTTACCCTCTTAAGACTAGTTTTCTGCTTAAGGCTGTTAACGCAGACTCTTTCAAATCCCCTCTCCTTTATTTATATTGCTGGTCAATGGCTACACAATGTTTTGGCCCTCACGTGGAGGAGCCGTCAAGCTTTACAACCCCTGTTAAACAAACAGTGTTGGTTTTATCTAGTCCAAAAGTGACGTGACTTGAATAAACATTTGTGTCCGTGTGAATATGGGTAGTGTAGAAATACATTGTTTCCTCATTTATGTCTGTGTGGGTATGGAAAGTGTAAAAATACATTGTTTCCTCATTTATATCTGCATGGGTATGGATAATGTAGAAATAAATTGTTTACCTACCAAGCTCGGGTTAAACCAGAGTTGGGAATCAGTAGCATATATTTAAACATAGTACAAGAAGTTTTTAACGGGTTATGAAACACTCAATTTAATACTGATGCCTCTATATGACCTACATAAATGAAAAAGACCATCAGCGAGATGATCAACACAAAATGAAAGTTCCATTTAGGGGCTTTAAGTTAATTTTGGTTTATTGCAGAAAAACTGAATTAAACTCAAATAACTACAACAGCTGCAAAAACAACTGAAAATGAGTGGAATATGGTGAATATTGTTTGTAGCTTTTCCAGGGTTAAGGAATCACAAAATGTATTAGTTTGTAATGTCAAACATTTATCACATGATTAAAAACAGATTAGATATTGCGTTATTCAGATAATTTTATTACTGAGATGCTCAGCCATGTGAGCAATAAGGAAGGAGATGGATTATGATAGTCAGTGCCACATCTTTTCCCAGCCAACATTCCTCTCAGGTCACCAGGCATCTGAATGACTTATTTTTAACAGGTTCTTCTAGATAAATACAAGAAAGCAAATGAAAGATCGTATTCTTTGAATGAATTAATGTCACCTTGTGTTTACTGTGTGGCCGTCATCTTCCTTCCCTGACATATAAACATTGTCTGGGGCAGAAAACAGCAGTCGTGACGCTGCTTCATTGAGGAAACACTCCTCGGTTATCTAATCTGGTCAACAGTGGACAGCTGGTCCTAGAAATTGACAGCAGATTAGATCAACATCAATAATATTGACTTAGTTAAACTCCATGCATGAAAGGCACTGCTGTAAAATTATGTTGTAATATCACCCAGCAATAACAAAGCTTTGGGAATCAATACAATTTTGTCTCAGACTATTTAAAATTCATTCATGTTTGAGACATACAGCTTATTTTCTCAACCAGAGTTAATGGTTTTTGCACATAACATAGAATTTAAAAGGTTTTTGGTGTGTCAATGGCAGTTTTTAAGTTGCAGGGGGAAAGTACAGGTCTCGTGACGGAGGCTCAAAGGTGTGTTGTATTTTCAGATGTACGAAATGCCAAACAGAAAAAACACAAAGTAGAAAAAATTAAAAAACTGGTGGCTCTAAGATGAACCCATAGAATCATAACATTATGAAGGAAAGACCAAGTGTGAACCTTCATGATGTCACCTTCTGGTTTGTAGAGTACTGTTTTATAGTTGTCGCTATGACAGTTTGTCAGAGCCGGTGGAGGTGACTTAATGCTAACAAGTCCGATTCAGACATACACACACAGCAGCAGCAGACCAGCAGCAGTTTTCCAGTCCAACACTGACCCACACAAAGCTGTACCCAAACCAAAGACACTATCAGCATGCCAAGGAGGTTGGCAGATGTGTTACTACCATACATCATCTGGGCCTAGACCATCCAGTAATCTAAATTTGTCAGCTGTTTTTTTTTACTTTGTAGATCTCGTACTGGTCCCAAGTCAACAAGAATGGATATAAGATATCAGACCCCTTCAATCCCCCCATTAATTCAATGTCTTAAGTCAAGTCTCACAGCAGTCCATTCCAACGTTACCTCTCACATCTGAAGCTGTGATTGATGCACATTCTGGCATTAACAAGAATCAAAGCCTATAAATCAACCTTCAAGCATGGGTAAGTGCACCAAGCTCTAAAGAGTCAGATAAACACTATTTGTTCCTTGTAGTTCTTTTCGTCTACAGTCTGGTCATAACACTGCCTCAGGCGTATTTCACAAGGCAAGGGAGGTTACCCAAACATGTGTATTCCTAACCCACATACATCTTATTGGCATTTAAGTTCGTGATCTCCAGCTGGTTTGATATTAACCTGCCTGACAGGAGTTTCAGTGTCAGGATCTGATGTAGAGAATTTAGTGGCGGACTCGTGTATGTGTAGTTTCCACATGGTAGAAACTTCCTGCTCTGTGTTGTATGCAGCCTGATTTGTGGAAAGAATGTACATAAATATGCTGGCAATGTGGCAGGCTGTTCTCTATTTCACCCAGCTTCAAAGGTGAGCTATGTTGCAATCACTTCAGTGTCAACACACATTTAAGAATACAGGCTTTAAGATTTCTAGGTCATACAATCTAAAACACGTACGCATGCAGCCTATTGTGTATACATATAAAACATATATAGCCCTGGTCAATACTTTTCACGTGCAGGTTGGTCCGCTGCCACGTTTCTATTGTATGAGCTGGAAACCCCCAAAGAGTATGTGAACAGGATAAATATTTGTTTTCTCTGCATCCAAGAGATAGCGTTCTATAGACTAGCACTGCCATTGTTGACATTGTTTATCTTTGGAACCAGTTGAACAGGTGTTGCAGTACAAGGATGCAAACAGATGTGTGTCAATTGTCATGCAGCAAGAAAGCATAGACAGCAGAAGTGGAAGTTTCTGTCATTGTTTGAAAGGTACACGGAAGTGCACTGATACCTGTGTGGCAACTTATAATCATTTTTTATCAATCAAAGACGTTAAAGAACAATCTTAAATCTTTCATCCAAAATCATTAGTAAATCAGGCCCTGAAGCAAACAGAAGAGAGCATTTGGTCTTTGTTAACAGTTTGTATTGGACATGGAGCAAACAGTAGCTCAGGAAGCAATACTGAAGTGAAACTTTTGCTTTGCTTTTGCAGCCTTAAGACATAAGAAAAAACATGTCACAATAGGCTATCAAAAATAAACCTCCTTTAATTCTGTGAATTTCTCTGACATATGGTGGCCATTTTAGGACACATCACAGTTAATCAGGCTCTGTGCTACATTGTCCAACTTCACTTAGCTTTCATTATTCTAGACAGCCAGTGATTTCTTAATTTCTAAAATGGCCCAGTTAGAGTTTTAGAGTTATGGTTAAACCCCATGGGTCTGGGGGTATATTTTCAGCAGTATAGGTGGCACTGAATCATAGAAATATTATAGGAATACTACAGGCAGCAGTGTGTCTCTATGATCTTCTCACTCCCCGATTGCATGTGTGTCCTGAGGGTGACACTACTATATATAGCCTACTACACAGACCTGAGTATTTAAGGTATATAATTTAGAGAATATTATAGATCCAAGACAAAACTGACGGAAAAGTAGGACTTTAGAACGCAATTATAAATTTCTCTGTTACTTTAGCACCAGAGACAGTGACATGGATTAATAGAATACACAGCACAGTCAGTGCTGATATTTAGAGCCATGGTCTGAGCCATAGATTCTAACTAAGCTCAGTCAGATAAAGGATTAATGGGTCAGGCAGAAAAGACTAACATCTTCAACTTAACCCTGTTGCCCCTGCACACTTGGTGCTCCTAGGGGATGGAGGTGGGGAGGGCAGGTCAACAAGGGGGAAGGTGTGTCCCCCCCCAAATCGCCTACTGATTCAGAAGATCCATCACTTCAGTTTATGATGTTATTCAGTTGTCTGTTTTCAGCTTTAGCTAGAATTTGTACACTATACATGTGGTGAAATTAATAATAAAATGTGTACCATAATCATTAAGGAGCTGCCTTCAATGTGCATTAAAAAAATCAATAGCATTAAACTTAAAGTACAGCTGAGGATGAAAAAAGTGAAGCTGATGTTGATGAAGTGCAGCTGAAGGACAGTTAAAGTTGATGGATGTTGAGCTAAGTGTCATTAAAAGAGCACTCAGCTGATTTAGCATTGGATTTGCCACTGTCGAACCCACAATGGAAATGTTTGAAACAAGGATCAAAAGCAATGCATCAAAACTGAACCAGATATACTGCATGTTATTCCACACATTCTGATTTCCTTGTCAAAACCTGCAACCTATTACCCACAATGCAACAGGACTGCTGGCATTGGGTCAGAGGTTTGGGTGTGTTAGTTGCAGCTAATGTAGCCTTGAGCAGAGATGAGGAACGGAGTTATAGTGGGGTTTTTCCATTTTTTTCATTTTCAAACTTGTAGTCTTCTTTGCCTTCTGGTTGGGGCTGGAGGAAGCAGCTCATAATCTTACACTGTCCAGTGGTTTTGATGTATGATGCTCCCAAAGGGGGATCTGTCCACATAATTTTGGCCAAATGCACCCAAAATATAGGGCTAAAATATAGACTAATATTGCTTGTCTATTTACAGTACTGTGTGGTCCATAGCAACTCCGTGAGACAAATGTGATGCACTCTAGGCTCCATAGTGTGAGGTGGTTGTCCTGCAGTAAATGACAAACCAGGCCATGAAAGAAACAATTAATGGGTCTATTATTGATTAAACTATGGTATCTCTCTGATATGTCATGAATGGCGTCACAACACTCAAAGCTCACTGGATTACTGTGTCTGATATTTACACAACAGTCAATAGTTGGTGGCAAACAGCTCTTTCATTGACAAGAGTTGGCAACACGGTGTCGACTGCTTCTATATTAATCTGGCAACAGGCTTAGATCAGTGAAGAGTGTTCTTTCCTCTGGTTTAATGATGCTCCATGTTTACATGTTAAGCACAAACACAGCTTCGCTTGTACGTAAGTTATAAACATTCTGTTCCCAAATCCTCATGTTCATCTTCAACACCGGCAGACACTCCACGTGTTTATGTGCTGGGGTAACGTTCATTCACTTCCAGTAGTACATAACCATACAGATACACTTATTTGTCCACTACTGCACTATACAATGAAATACATTTCATTTCTGCTTCTCAAAGTACTGATTTTTCTCAATTAAATATCCGTATTACTTTGGATACATTGCAAGACATTCTGACAAAAGTTTAAACTATTATTCGTTAGTTTTAATTTTAACTTCTTTCTATCTGCATGGCTAGATGCTAGGGATAAGTGAAAAAAATGTGTGCCACTTTAAACCTGCACTATGCTGTGTTTCAATTCAAATAATGTGCCAACAATGTACTACAAATTGTGTTCAAAAAGGTAAGGAGCATTCCATTTCAGTTGCTGGTGATGGTATTCTATAAATAGTCAAAAGAGATGACATAAGTCAAAACCCAAAGGTTATAAAATATAAATAACTTCCTTTTTGCTATGTCAAAATACAGAGAATAACCAATTTAAGTCAGAACAACTGAGTTATAGACCAGAGGGCATTTTAATTTGTCATAACAGGAAAAGTGGAGGTGTATCTAATAACATAAATAGTTTTTCAAAATGTCCCTGCCTCAAGGGGATTACAAGGTGAAAATATGTCTAATCCTTTAATAATTCCTCTCCAACATCTGACATGTCAAACTGGTACATTTACTACCTAAATAAATTAAATTCTGTTTTTTTGTTTCCGTACCAGGGCTCTTGAGTTGCAGATACTGGCTCATGATTATGGCTGATTGCTACATTTAATTGGAAAAGAGCCATTATTGATTTTTATCAGTTTCACCTGAGCATTTCATGCAATGACAAGACACAGAGTGCAGAGTGCTGATGAGATGAGTCTCCCGAGTCTTGAAAAACATGAATTTGTCCTCCCGATAAAGTATTTGTGAGCTGATGTGGTCCACCCCTAATTTGTGAATAGATCTGCGCCATTGGACAAGAGAAAATAGTATCTACGGAGAGAAAGGCCAACTTGCCACAGCAGGAAAAACACAGGTGAACTTGGTTGAGTTCCACTAAGTGTCCCAGTAACAGTGGCAGTTAACCAGCACACACAATAGCCAGTCCTGGAATGCTGCAATCATTAATACACCTGTGAGTTTCCTGCTATGACGTCAAAATATCTGCTGTGCAAACCAAACATTTATTACCCATATTTAAAGATTTACTTACGAATGCAGTTTCAGGGATACAAATTATTGTATTCACTCAGTAGTTCCAAGGCTTCAAAATCAGGTTATGGTGTTTTGTTTCATTTATTTCCCAGAAATCAAAATGTTGTTCAGTGTGACCTCCAAAAGGAAACAGTGAACAGCACAATGTGTACTGACTCCACCTATATACCATCTATTGTCCTGGGTTCAGTGCTGTGTGACATGGCCAGTGAATGAGTAATCAGTGACTGAGTAATACCATTGGAGTGGAGCTAGGGGGTCAACCCTTTTTTTGTAATAAAAGTAATGTCAGACTAACCAAGCCAAAGTTTCAGAAACTACTTTGCTTTAATGTGATCAGACCTACAATAATGAGGTGAGTTTGGATGTTTTCACACTTAGGCAAATTATAAAGACACAAGGCAGTTTATCCTATAGTCTACAGGCTACATTTGGTGAAGTGAGGAAACTGCTTTCGACCTCAAGTGGTCCGGAAAAACAGCAAGCTGTGTGGTTCTCCGGAGTCAACATGTGACCATAAGACACAATCATGTCTGGTCATGGCTACATTGTGGTAAACATTCCCCAACTGTGAACTGTGTTCCTTATATTAACTTGCTGCTGTATTATGACTGGTCTGTGGGACATCCTTTTGACCTAACAGGTCAGCAGCAGCTGTCCAATCATGGCTTAGCAACTGTAACTAGCGACCTCAGGCCTGTCAAGCTCTGGATTCCTCTACATGTTTCAGCAGTGTGCATTGGGCTCTAAGAAGAATGAAGAGCGATACTTGGTATCTCAAGAGTTTGGAGCGTGGTGTCTTTTTTTTGTCTTTGACTAACACAAAAACAAACATGGAAGGAATGGAGTAAACTTCGTCTTTATCTGTTCTAACAAAGCTCTAGCAAATGTTAGCATGTCTTGCTAACTAGTTAACTACCTACAGTAACTCCAGCCAAACATGTTAGATACTGTAGTGAGTCATTATTTAAAATCCACAGTAGTCAGGCAGAAATGAGAAGCCTGCTTTTGTTTACTTCTTTGTGGAATTGAAGACCTAATGTTGGAAACTTCTAATTTCGATGCTAAATCTGCAACTATTATCACTGTAAACTGCATATGTGCCTGTAAGAATGGAAAGCTCAGCAACAGTAACTAACAATAACAGTCCCATGCACTTTGTTACCAAATAATTACAATACAGTTAATAGAGAAAGAGACTTTTTGCACATCAAATTTGGTTAAAATGAAAAACTAAATAGATACTGCGGGTTAAAATGAAGTGGAGAAATAAGGAGGTAGTCCTGGTTCAAGCCCACTGAAAGGGGATGGGGATACTCAACCATCAGCACTACCTGTACCAATCACAGTGCAAAGACTTAATGAAAAATAGATCCAATGCATGTAAGTGACAGGGTTCTGCAGTCCTGTCCCACTGTCAGCCACACACTTCTTTAGGGATTTGAAAAAAAAGGCTTTAAGAGTTCAACACAGCCCTTTAAAATAACTTTTTACAACATAAATAGAAGTAGAACAAGACTGTTCAGAATAAATTGTTTGAAAAAGATCTAAAAGGGAAAAACAGCAGCAGGAATCCAGTTACTTGAGGATACAAACAAATCCTGGAGAAACCACAGGAGCCTTGGCCTTAACTTCTGCTTGCTTTCAATAAAACCTGCAGCTTGTAACCCTCTTAAGATGGCTTTATCCTACCAAGAACATGTACAGTATCTGTACCTCACAATTTTGTAGAGAAAGCAGCACAGACATTATCAGCCAGGCTGCTGCCGAAAACTCCCAGGAATGAGCTCATTTATTGTTGGAGCTTCACAGGTGCCAACAATTAAGCAGGCTGATTGCCTGAGGAGACCTGTGTCTTGAAGGATAAGACTGGGGTTAGTTTATCTTTTTACCATTATCAACAAATCCCATTATAAGACCAAAACCAACAATGAACCATCCAAAAAGCATTTTGTAAAAGCTTAAAATTACTGACGCCTCCATGTAAGAGCTCCACTGTCATCCTAAAACAGTGAGCCACATTCATTGTAATAAAGAAATCCACCCAAAGTTATGTTTGTTTTGTGATTTAAATAGCCTATTGTACAATAATGGAGGTCTATGGTTTTGTCAGGCTTTGGTTACAGTAGTGGGATGTTCATTATTGGTTCTGGCCATTTCAGGGAATTAGTCTATAAAAACAAAACTCTACAAGAGTCTGCAACTCGTGACTCAGTGAGATTGTACAGTGGTGCTTTGGGTGACTAATGTCAGCCTGCTCACAATAACAAAGACATTGCTGATGTTTAGCAGGTATAATATAATGTAAAATGATATGAAGGTGAAGGGAATGTCATTAGTTTTACAGGTATTTGGTCATAAAATTCAGTAGTGGACTAATTAAAATTTTGACCTGGTGATTTTGTTAGATTAAAAATAATGGGATCGCCAATTACTGACATGTATTCTGGAGCGAACATGCACAGATGTCTCTACCAAATTTCATGGCAATCTAGCTAATATTTGTCAAGATATTTCAGTCCTGAGTAAAGTCATAAACTGACCAGGTGTCCAAACACCTAAAATGGCATTCCTAGAGCCAAGATTAAAAAAAACAAACTAAAATAGCACTAGCCTAAACCTAGATTGATCCCTGAACCAACAAGATACATTTGGACAGAGAAAATGAAAGAGCCATGCTTGCCTCCCCACCCGACCACTAAGCTGCCCTCGAGCGAGACCCTCAATGCCCAGTGGCTAACAGATAAGACTGTGGTTGAACTGGGCAGCTTCCAGGACTTTAATCTGTGACTGCTGTGCAAGCCAAGCCTGAAAACACTAGACTAGAATTGTCTTTTACGAAACCTTGTTCTGAACTTCTTGGCAGACAGGTGGACTGTTGAAAGACAACTCTTGGAAAGTAACAACTGTCCTCCTTATCGTTATTTTGGCTGGAATATCATATCATAATAACCAGAGTCATACAGCAAAGAGGGGAAGCCCCTGATGTTGACGTACTCGTTTAAACCATCACAGATGGGCTGACTGTCGACAAGTAAGATAATTGATAAAAGTGTCATTATCCGCTAAAAATAGTATTAAAAGATGATAAAAAACTGCATTTATATACTGAGAAATAATACAAGTTTAAAACAGACAGGGAGAAAAAGTCTTCCCACTCACCTGGAGATGGGCAGTCAGAATCGTCTGTTCTTCGTCAGTCTGACTTTTTAACAACACATTTTAACCTGTGCTGTGTGTTAGACGCTTGGTGAGAAGTGACTCAACACTGGGTGAGTTAGCCTGACTGTGTCTGTGTGTGTGTGTGTGTGTGTGTTGTGACGGTGTGTATATGTGTGTCTGTGTGTGTGTGTGTCGCTCTGGAATGTGGAAATATCTTTTGCTCCAACTCCAAATATTTCTGGATGCGCTGTCTTGACGGACAAACAACTTCTAGGCAAACAGAAAAGAAAAAACGTTTTTCTGCCTTTAACCCAATAAATAAAATAATTTGTATTAATTTAATATAAACAATAGATGTTTACAAAATCAACAGCAACATGTCTGATGAGTCCTGGTAAAATGAATAATAGATAGATTGTTCCTAATCTTAACAGTCAGTGGCAAATGTCCATTTAACATCTTTGAATGTAGAAAAGTTGGTAGCTATTTTCTATAAGGTCTGACTGTAGGAACTACAATACTGGTGAGCTCTTCTAAAAGACCAGAGGGTCAGTTACTGTTGAAATCCTAATCCTAAAAGATTAATGAAGGCTGTACCAGGTATGCATAAAATATACAGGGTTTTGGAAAGGTCTGAGTGTGCACTGCTGTCAAGGATTTGGTCTGAGCTAGCAGAGTGAACATAATCTGTTACATGTTGTTACATATCACAGTACTGTTTTTTATTTGTATGTATTTCCCCACTGTTGTGTACCCCCTACTGAACCCTGCTGAACCAAGATTTTACTTATATACAGCTCTGGGCCTGTTTAATAAGGCTATGGGTCACTGGTCTTGCAGTAATGAGTTTGGTTGAGCCAAAATGTTCAACTAACTCCTACTAGTCAAGATGCTTGATCTCAACCTTATCCTACCCCCAATCAGTGCTTGAAGAGTGGATTAACATTACCAAAGAGGAATCAGACTTCAACACTAGGATACTAGTGTACACAAGTAAGTTGTCGGTTATGGTTTGCAAAACTGGGCCACTTTAGTCATTTCAAGATAAAGTTAAGGATATGGTTTCCATCAGGTGATGGAATTTTTGACACATGCAGATTTCAACAGGGACATTTCTGGAACTGTTTTCACTCAGAGACTTGTGCATGTCATTGTTCAGCAGGATGTGACGGTGTGCACTATGATGTAAGGGTGATTCACATACAACCATTAAAACACATCCCATCATGGTTAAATTGGGCCATAAGTACCAGCCTTATTCAAGGAGGATATGTCAAAACATGGGCAAGTAAAGCTCAAACGGTCTCCATTTGTAGATACTGCTAAAGTGTTGTAATTTGGGTGAACTCAGCCTTTAACAGAATACAGTTTTATTTGTCATGCAGATTACAATTCAACTATCTTGACTGCTCAGTGTGTTGAGAGACATCTGAAAACAATTACAATGGAATATGGTTTGATTTAAAAAAAATAAAATCCGTGTCTGTGCTTCTGCCACTGAGAAGACTGACGTGAACTTTTCCGCTGGATGCATGTTTGTGTGTATAAAAGAGACAGCCCTTGTTTGCGTGTGTGTATGTTCCTGATAACTGTAGAAGAATAGATGTGCCAAACCAATTGAAAAGAGGATTTATATTTAATGACTCCTTGTGCTAATGCATGCCTAACTCCAGACAGAAAATATGAATAGATTTAGAGTAAACAGCAAGCTTGCAGAGGGAGATAGAGACTCATACTCATGGTCTTCGACAAAAGCACCTCTTTGTTCTCGAGTACAAACTTTAGGAATTGATTGACTTGTGCAACAGGCTGGTTATAGCCCTGAAGGATCTCAAGAATTGTCTATGAGTAAAACTCAGTTTAAAAAAAAGGCTTCTGATGATGTAGAGCCTGGCCAGCAATTGTATTAAGTGTGTTGTGAGGGCATCACTAGAAGAAGGGCCATGGGGTCAATATTAGAATTCATCCTTTAAAACCATGAATATCCAGTGGCATGTTTCTGCTTCCAAACATCCTACAATACAGTTTTGCTGCTCAGGAAGACAATAGCTTCTATCAGAAGGGGAAATGAGAGTCTAACCATGCTAGCAGCCTTGTACTTACAGTGGTACTTTGAGGTAAATGCCAGCATGGCATCATGTTCACAATTCAGTTTGTTTCCAGACAAAAGTGACGGTGGATAAATCCATATCGTTAGCATGGTTAAAAATATTTCTAATTATTGTGTTTAATATTTATCCTCATGGAGGCTTGGTTTTTGCATAGTCATTGCCAGAAGCTGACTCATTTGTTTCTTTTTTCTTTGTCATGTCTATGACTCATTTTATTCCACACGTTTTACCCAGAATACTTCATTGATTCAGCTCTGTTTTTCAGCTTTTGCGGGAACACTGCCAGCTGCACTTTCACTGCCAGCTGTGCTCACTGAGTCTGTCACAGGTTTACTGAGTTTTTTTATTAGTCATGATTTCCTGGAAATCTGTTATGCTGTCCTTTAGGGCCTAGTAAGTTGGTAGATGTTTTTAGCAACAGATTTAACAACTAATCTATCTTAGTCAAACATAGACTTTTCTTTTCATTGCATTGTCAGTTCATTGTCTTTTAAAGGACCAGTTCAACATGTTTTTTCCCTTTCTTTTACATCCAGAAGTTGGCGTTTTTCCTGCCATATCAAGAAGGCCCTCTCATGGAAAGGGCAACAAATGATTTAACTTGACTGTTCTATTGCAATGGAATTTTTAAAATAAGTATTTTTATATTATTATTTTATATTATTCATACAGGTTATTAAAAATAAAAACATTAAATTAATGTCATTTCTGGTATAACATATTCATGGTCGTTGCTATTTGCAGTGATAGTGATATACGGTGCACAAGCCCAAAGAGGTGTCACCACATCCTTAGAACTTGTTTTAATGCGCAATAAGGGCACCAGCAGAGTGTATGCAGAGAGGAAGGCCAGCAGACGGGCAGGCAGCCCAGCCAATAATTTCATTAAGGCCGAAATGCTTAGATTGGCTTATCACAGGTCTGCAACAGCCACAGATAATGGATTATTTTCTTTTTTTCCCACAGCATTGATTTATGGATTGCTGTCGGATATAAAGAGAATTTCAACAACTATAGCCGGTGTTAAAAAAGTGTCCTCAGTGTGGACATGGAACACCATCTGTCCACTTTGCTCTGTGAAAAAATGTGAGTATAAAGCTGAAGACTTACTTAGACTTACTTCACTTGGTGCGTTTAGATCATCAGATAATTACGAGGGATAGCAGCAGACTCTTCAGACGGGCATAAATTGACATTTCAGCTATAAAACATTCATCAATCTAAGAGGGCTGCTTTCCTATCATACAGCCTACCAGCTGGTGTTACATCATCTCTAATTATTGGAGCAGAGAGGTTTGACACCCATGTTACCCTAGTTCTGATTGGTGGAGTTGATTGCTGGCTCTAGACTCATAACATGCCATTGATCAGGGAGGAGGAGGCTACAACAGAACGGCTGCAACAACATGAGAGCAGCCACATATGCTGGAATCAGGCTGAGTTTAAGGAATGACGAGCAGAGACTGGACTCATGACTCAGATGATGTCAGTGAATTTTAAATATCGAATAGGATGTATATCCTTTTAAATATTCTTGTCAATCCACAGAATATTGGCCAGCAGATGGTGATGAAACATGCTCGTCTTGACGGGTACCTCCAACTGAGTGTCAACCATTTTGTGATCTGGTGTGTGCAGATTTCCCGCATGCACCTTCTTATCATTTTAACAACTTTCTCCATCATTTTCTCAGATCTTTTAAAAAAGGAATAAGAAGGAAGAGTTTATTTAAAACCTATAAAGCTTAGTGAAAATAAATTTGGCATGTTATTGATGAAAAAAGGTCCTTTTTATTTATCTTCCCTATGAAACATCAGACCTTTATTTAACCCTTGATTTAGCCCTTTAAAAATAGACAAACAAAGGGATATTGTACCATAAACATGATTTAGATAAATGTGTTTACTATTAATTTGAAAAGGTTAGTTTGAGTTGCTATTAGAGTTGGGATTTTTAATCAGTATTCAAGTAACTAATAGATTTACCTTATGTATGTAAAAAAGTAATACATGGTATATGGTTTATGGTTTTTGAATAGGTTTACTGCATCGATCAATATGTTTTTAAAAGGGAACCCCTCCCCCCCTAAGACTGACAAAACAAACATAACATTCCAGGTAGCCCTTAATTTGTAAAAGTAATTAAGGCCTTTGTAAGACACTTGTTTAGCGATTGGCTTTAATGGGTTATCTGATTTAAAGGGCTTCAGTTCCATGGTACTTTCAAATAAACACAATAAATCTTTTCTTTATACTTATATTTTATTAATTTTCACCGCACATGTTCAGGGAAACACATGTCAATATGGATTTGTTACATGAATATCTATTGCACTATAGATATCTGTTTTTTTAAAAATACATGTTATGAGATGGCATTAGAGTGGCATGGCACCAATATAAATCTCTTTTTTTAATAATAGAGTTTGGCATGTTACTTTTAAAATTAGATATATCAAGACACATAATCATGGGCACACATCATGTACAGTACTTGACACTCAAAACCCCAGAGCAAACAAAACAGCGACCCGCTTCACTCCACATCGATTTGTTCACAGCAGATAGCGTGATCTACTAAAATGGTTTCCTGAAGGCAAATCAAGAGCTTGCTTTGAAGGAGATTAGCCTTTATCGGACTGGCTGACGATGATGGATGTGAGTGAACGATAACTAAATTCCGATAAAGCAGCCGTGTATATATCCGTATCAAAGCAAGGACTTGAACACAAAGGAAATGTTGGTAAATGCTATAAATCTTAATTCCACACATTAGCTTGAAAGTGTGGATATAAAACCAAAGCCTTGTTGAGTTGAGGATGATGACTGAGTAAAGTGCTGAATGATGGAGGTCTGATTCCACCTGCCTGCTCCTCATCATGAGGAGGGGAAAATACAAGCAGGTCTGCACAGCAACACCTGTCTGACCATGTTTAACAATCTGTGATACAAGGTCCTCTCTCTTGCTGAGAACACAAACCCCTTAGTCCCAAATCCACACTATAACACCAACCTATTCTGTGTGCAATGACAAAAATACACCATGACCAGAAAATTGGAGTGTAGTGCTGAGTACAGCACTAGTGTCCCACAGCACAACTGAGATGGAGGAGCTATTAACAGCTGAAAAAAGTAACGAAAAAAAATCTATATAAATAAATAAAGAATGTAAAGATAAAAGAGAATAACGATTGTTGTTGATGTTGAGATGGCTCCTATTTCTCCTTGGTAGTTGTGGCACATATTCTCGAAAGGCTTCTCCTTGATCTACTGTGGCTTGGATTGTACCTCATTTGTACAATGTCACTTTGGACAAAACATTAGTAGTAGTTTCAATGCGCATTAAATGTCCAAGTACATTCTTGTGCAGTCAGGAGAAGTACATTTAATGACATAATGCACTCATTTATAGTTTTCCTTTTCGAGAGACTCTTTACTCCTGTAATTTTATTGAAATATAATACTTTCAGCTCCACTTTCACTGCATCTGATGGCTGTATTTACTACTAACTCTGTAGATTATGAATTGGATAAAACTCCTTTATTCCGCTGGACCAGCAATTAACATACTGCTCACTGCATCAAATATTTAACACATTTTGAAAAGGACCCCTCTATGGTTATTCAACATATTTGGATATTCCGATTATGTTTTCATTATTAAATATAGATTTAAATTACTTAATTTTACTAAGCAGAGGGTTTTAACACTTACTTTATGGTATTAGTACAAGCCATCATACTTATCAGAACAATGAGAGAGACCCATCAGACTTTACGATGCCAGATTTCATTTGCCTAATTAGCATTGGATAGCACTGGCCTCTCCTCTCATAGTGAGTCAAATCACAACCACACATACACAGCAGTTATGGTTACAATATAAAGGAGGTTATACAGGAAGATACCTTGAGCACATCTGAGTATGTTGTTGAGTTATTTTCCTGCCAAAAGTCTCTGGCAGCATGGACTTTGTTAACAGCCTCTACTAAATGTTTACCAGCGCTTGGCTGGTGGCTGGTGTTAATTTCCCATCCTGGTGCGAAACAGAGACACAAAGAAGATTAATATGCATGTCAGACCTGCAGTAGGTTTGTGTTTGTGGGTTTAGTCGTGGAGATGTTGTACACGCTCTCAGGGTTTGTCCGAGACAAAATATTATGCGAGGTAAGGACCGAGGGATTTAGCGAATGAACAGAAGAAGAAGCAATAAGCGCTGGATGGATGAGGTGGCTCAACATAGCTTTGTTTTGTTTTTTTTTCCCTTTTTTTTTGGCACAGTCAATAGCCCGCGTCAGTGCAATGCAGAAAACAAGCAGATCCCCAAGCAGCAACGCACAACCGAGCTGAGTGAGAAATACGACACTACTTCACAGCTCAGAACATGCTGCCCGTATCCCTGATGGTGTAAAATAAATTCTTTAATACGGTGCATGACGAGCCGGCTCCATTGTCTAATTAGCTATTAATGACATCTCTGCCACAGTGGAATGCTCGGCACGGCCAGATTTATGTAACATTACTGAATGATAATTCTCAAAGCTCTGGAGAACATGCTAATCCGCTGCATAATTCATCACCGCACAAGCCTACTTCTTCAGTCAGCTGATCAGTATTCATAAGGTTTGGCATTAGTTTTTGGCATTTCAGTGCTGTTGAACTGCAGCTACATTCACAACTCTAATTTCCATTTTACATTCAGCTTTTATCTGCTTTAGTCTTAATAAATGTTGTGTTATCAGAGGAGGGGTTAAAGGATGGTGCTGCGGATGTAAGGTGATGTTGAAACCTAAAGCCGCCACTCATGCTGCTGGTTGTGGTTGCTGCTGTACATCAGTGAAGCATCTTCATGGAATCTGTCAAGCCTTTTGTTTCACAGCATAGAAATACAGGTAAACAATAACCATTTTCTTGTCTATTTGCACTGATGTCCCTGGGGAGAGAGGCAAAGCAGTCAATGGTTACGTATCACATTCTAACTATGGCATAAAAACCCAAACAATCAAGACAAAGTTTCACATACGTAGGCAGCAATGGTAGAAATCAGCAACTGCAGAGCAGTAAAATACAGAACATACTTCACACGTCTAAGTACAAGCCTTTTTTTCTCCTGACAAACTATAAAATGCAAGCTTAATATGCAGTTCAATTTAGCTTCATCTGCCCTTATGGTATATGTGTTTATTGAAATTGCTATAGCGGAACACCTTGTTCACATCTTTACGCATTGTTGGTTTGACAGAAATTGGATGTCATTTGCAGCATAGCTCAATAGCTCATCTTTTCTCTGTTTTCTAAAAACTAATGGACACAATGACGCCAACATACCCAAAATTAGCAAAAAGGTAACTGCTGTTTGACATAACTTGCAACCACCGTCTCTCCAAACCTATTAGAAAAGGTCCAGAATCTAAATAGAGATTTATTTAATTATTCAATGTTTTTTTATTAAGACTTTCTTGTTGTAGGATTCTGAGTGTGGTTTGCTCTGTACTGTAACTTTTTTCCAAAGGAGCTGTAGGCGATGTTGTGTTTTTCACATCCTGTAAGACCGAGTGGTTTGTTTCTGATGCTCTGGGGAGGAGGAAAGACGATGGTATGTAAAAAGAAAAACAACGGACAAAGCTGTGAACAAGGCGTAATAACGATGTCTGATACCATCTGATAAAAAGATGCAAGAAACTGCCTCGTCTGAGAAGGAGGTGCTGAGACACAGTGATGTTCGAGAATGAGCTCTTGCCCATCCGCCTACTTCCTGTCAAAAAGCTGACACTTCCTCCCAGCGATGTTGTTAGACTCAGCTGCACTAATTATAGCGCCAAGTCCAACCGAGTCTGCAGTATTCTGCCTCGACTGCAAAATTGTGCTTAGGAGTTTATGTCCCAGAAGTGTTAAGGCTTTTTTAATCTCAATACCAGACATTTTTCTAAGTACTAATGAGCTATACCAATGAAGTTTAAGAAGATGAATGACTAGATGTAAGAGCGGTATTAAAGGTTTATATATTCACAAATAAGCACAATCAAGTCGATTTCAAAATAAGTAGAGAAATGGTAAAAAGAATTGGCCTGGTATTGGTGTTTTTTTTTGCCCCACTCATACGATATGTTTATCTTTATGTGTCAGAGAAGAAAGGTTCGCAAAGCACCTAATTATGGTTGAATCTAGATTTGACTTGCAAGACCTGTCAGTTCAAGGTCCTAGTTACTTTAGTCTGAATGTTAATGAATGTGTTTTCCAGTTCTGATTTTATTAAGGCAGCTGCAGCTGCAGATATGTAGCTTTATGCAAAAAATACAGAATTTAATCCTCCATTCAACTGATGAATTTTCACTGTTCAACCCAACCATGTACTTCAGTGCTCTGTGAACCTAACCTCCTAACAGCGGCTCCTCGTCTTTCCTGTCATTGGGAGCCAGTAAGGATGAGGGGTTAGCATTAGTGTTAGCAGTAGTTAATGGAGCCACAGGGCAGCCACGGCGAGCAGGAGCGACGGCCCCAAGGTGGAGGCCAGGGAGGCGGCCAGGAGCCTGCCGTTGTTCACCAGCCTGAAAGAGATAACCTCCACCTTGAATCCGTCCTCGGTGGCCATGCAGCGGAAGACGCCTTCCTTCAGGGGCGTGTCGACAGCGGGCCCCAGGACACAGAAGTCCCCAGAGAAGAGGCAGGGATAGTTCCTGACACAGTTGTCCTTCTCCCAGCGGTAGGTAGCATGGAAGGAACGCACAGGGCAAGCAAGAAAGACAGAGGTGTTGGACTGCACAAAAACTTCTTTGGGGGAAGTCCGACGCTGCTTCAGAGCTGTAGGGACAAAGTAATGAAGAATTTTATACCAAAATTAACCCTTTCACATTGCATTTGTAAATGTTGATTATACTTCTCTCTGTGAACACCTTAAATAACTCCATAGCAGGACAGCCCATATGTCATTCATTATTTAATATGTGCTGCTCTAAACAACAGCTGCTTTTGTAGATTTTTGTTAAGTCTGATTACCACCCTGGCAAAGCAGGCAGCAATGTTAAGCTTCCAGACCATCAACGATCCGATGTCCCCATATTCATTGTTCATCAGTTGGTTTGCAGTTATTTGATTAACTGCAATTTCAATTGGCAATATGAGCCACTAAATCACATCATCAACAGAAATTATATAGGCTCTAAGTTTGGTCCTGCAATACCACCTGTCTTGTAGGTGTCCCCTTAGTGGGTAAATCCAATCATAATCTTTGCAAGGGAAAAAAATGTTGTAGAAAAAAAATTGTAGTGAAAAGATAGAAAGATGCGTGCTGTGATTTACTCTGAAACACAATGATTGGGTTAGTGCTTGATTTAAAAGCCATCATTTGTTCTGTCTAAGAGGACAAATATGTATTTTAGATTAGGGGGTGAACTGTCCCTTTAAGTAGTATTTTGTTGCGAACCCATATGGCTTGTTTTGTTTTTTAAACTATATAGTAGAATAATATAGAGTAAAGATTTTAAAGCACATTGTGTGAAGCTTTGCAGTGTGCAGTTTGCTGTAAGATATCACTTAATGATAATCTTTGAGTATTACTTTCCGTGGGAAAAAAAGCTTGAAACTTGTTCTTGTATCCACGGGCAGGACAGGTGGCACCAGTGACACAACTGGAAATAAATACAATGTTAAAATCAGATCACTTAAGGAGATAGCCGTCCCTTCAGAGGGGAGTAATTGTAGTGATTATTCAGGGTTATAACTAGGTTTTGAGCTTTGAAACAGGGCAAGCCATGATGTGAGAAAAAAATCTCTCCCTGCGGGTTTTTGGACTCTGTTCAATTATATGATAATCATCTTTTTACTGTAGCTGCTCAAAGGTTCCTACTTTGGTTTAATTAAGATACAGAGAGAGTGGGAGAGAGCAGATAAGGGCTTACCAGCAGCTTCCCCACAAACCGAGGAGTTTGAATGGTCCAGATTCTGAACGAGTGCCCTGTTGGAAAATAATAGAGAGGACAAATTAGCAGCATTAAATAGTTTCACAAATGGCTTATGAGCCACCACATCAACCTACTGTTACTTGCAAATTAAAACATGCAGAGACAAATCATTCAACAATGTCAGGGGGGAAAGGAGAAAGGAGTCAGAGGCTTATTACAGCACATGATTGATTTTCATATTATCTCTAAAAATTGGAACTGCACAAAAACCATTCAAGCCAAAGCAATTTACTAACTGAGTGAAACGCAGTATTAGCTCAACATGCATTTTTGATGATTGTCGTGTTTTTTCTTTGAACTGCAGTTCCTTCATAGTTAAAGCAAGTTTAATCACCTCAGGGCCAATGAGCGTCAGTCAGGATACAAGGCGTTATTTCTTTAATTGCAGACGTATGTTTCAGATCTATCGATACTGATACAGTGTTTTAAAAATTGCTTATGAGTGCCCTCTCCTTTCTTGTCAGTTCGTGTCAGAACAGACTCTGCAGTGACATCATATCTGATCATACCCAGTCGTGACGTTGTATCCAGGCGGGATGGCGATGCACTTCCTCCTGGCTCTGTCCCAGCCGCAGTACGGATCCCGGGAAAGGATGCACTCCCTGCATGTGTCGCCATAGCGACCGCAGTCAGCCAGTGGCAGTCGCTGTATCTCCATCGCTGTACCAACATACAGGTGTCCCTAAGGAGGAAAAAATGCAATATACAATGTCTTTTCTGATTCAATAACAGCACCAGCATTACTAGAATACATCAACCATTGTTATTCAAAACTGCAGACTGGACCAGTTTTGAATAAGGCTGTCTTTCCAATTTTGTATTCATTTTATGGCAGCAAAGCCTCTAAAAGAGTTTTCAAACCAACCAAAACTCTCAATTAAAACCCATAAATGAGGAATTTCTAGATGGATGGCATGACTTGAAGATATTTAATATTTTACAGAGGCTAGTATAGTTTCAAATGGAAGATTAAACAGCCAGATCCATCCAAGCATATTCATGTATGTATTCAGATACAGGCAACATTTAGAAATTTGTGGAAATTCCATAATAAAAAAAATAAATTAATAATAATAATAATAAAATGAATTTTGTTTAATTTTAAGTGATGCAGAGTAGATGATGTAGCAAACTCTCTGACCATCTTAAAACAATACAGAGGAAGAACTGTTTCAAATTGAACTCTCTAACAATGAATCCTGAACAAATACTAATCACATTTCCTCCCCTCCCCTTTTTCGCCTCTGATTAAGTCCGTGGTTATTTTATGGCTACGATATCCAGCTACAGTATAATTAATTTTCCTTACATGTCTGAAGGGGGCCTGCAGCCTTTCTTAGCTCTGATTTATTATTTATGGTGAGAGCAGGAATGCAACTTAAATCACCCTCTAACACACAGTGTACCATTATTCTTTGTACCTTTTGGGAGTCGATGGCCATGTTTAGGACGGGGCCCTCATTGTGAAACAGCGAGTACTGAGATATGATGAAGACCCCCTCACTGGTGTGAAGAACTTTGAGAACTTTGCCTTGTTCTGTAGAAATAAAAACAGACATTGTAAATGGAGTGGAGGGACAGATCACAGGTCTGCAGTCTTCTAAACATCTGAAAACTCAAATATACAGAAAAAGACATGAGCATCCTTAGTGTCGTATGTTAGAAATGTGTGTATTCTGGTTTTCTCTTTTTGCAGTCCTTGTTCTGCTGTCCAAAGTGTTTTATCAATACATGTACTTGACTTGGACAGCTTCCACTCTTAAGGGAGGCTGGAGGGCACAAAGGTAAAATGGTAGATTAGAGCTGCAGAGATTCTTTGAACAGGCATTTGTGAAGGCAGAGCTTCTCTGGAAAGAGAAATAGTGTAACTGTACTTGTTTAACCTCAATGGATGAATCCAAAACCACAGTACTGGCTACAGTAATACAATAGAGGAAGTATATTATTCATAGCAGAGTGAAGTTCAGGTTAAGCTCTGTAGAATTCCTTGAATACATTCAGCAATGGAAATCAAGTATTGTATTGTATTCTGGGTCAATTATGGACAAATTGAACTGAAACGATGGAACATTTTATGTCCTAGAACTTTTGTCCTTGCCTCTGGCTGAGATCTTTTCCATTATAACTGCAGATGAGTGCCATTTGACTTACCAAGTTGAATCATTTGTAACTACTGGCCATAACGTAACTTTATAGTATGAAGTCTGAATTAGATAACAAGCAACTAACCCATGGCCCCAAAACGTAAATTCCTAAATCTTGTTTTTAAAGGTCCAGTATGTAATGATACAACCCCCCCCCCCCCCCCCCCCCCAATAACCTTCCTGTCCGCCATGAAGGGAAGCTATGGTGGCCACAAAGGCATAGGGCCCTATGTAGAGCCAGTGTTCGATTTGATTTGTGCATTCTTGGCTACTGCAGAAACTTGGCAGTTCAACATGGACCGTAGAAGAGGGCCAAAACACAACAATACTTATTTTCAGGTGATTGTATACTAATGAAAACATATCTATGAATATTATATTAAATTTCTGACAATTGATCTGACAATGCTGTGTGATCAGGAAGGGCAGTAAGGTCTTAACTGCTGATAGACAGAGGGTGGACATTCAATAATTAGGAACTCCTGCAATGAAATCCAAGCTCGCATTTGCTTTCTGTTCCGGCTCCAAATACAGAAGCTAAGTGAAAAAGGTTAAGATAAAGAAGTTTGCTAATTTCATCGAATCTACTACAAGCTGAAACAATAACATAGCTTTTGTTAGCGAGGTTAGCTTATTACTCTGCTTTTGGAGCTTGTGTGTTTGTGTGTTTTCAACATGAACAAATAATCTTCAGTGTTGCACAAATCAACATAAGGCTCGGTCACAGCACCACGTGTGAATATTTGATCCAACTATCAATTTGGTCTTTGTGAATTGGGTTCCCTGTTTTTAGAACAAAACACTCCAACAGAGACCTGCTGGAATATAGTATACCTTTATTGAATTTTGCACTGTTGGTCAATACTGCTGTCTCAGATGCAGCTTGGTTTTGAAACTGGAGGAGGCATTATTCTTGCTGTGAGCAATCACTCTGTTTTGTGCAATAACCTATTACGCCACCAGACAGCTAAGTGCAGAATCACTCTCACAGACAGTTTACAGTCTCATGCTCTGCTCAATATTTCTTTATTACCTTGTACCTTTTTGGTGCAAAGTGTAGAGATATTTCATTGGACTGAAAGCCAATGAAAGTGTTCTTGTAGCTACCCTTACTATTTGCATTCCCTAACTCATTCCCTCCAGACGACAGCTCCTTCCTTTCCAAATAATTTTTGAATTTTGTCACGTCTAAGATTATTTTACCTTCCCCACTGTGAAAATGTGATTAGAATGATACCTTTTTATCTTACATCTTCATTTCCTGAATGCTCCCTCCATGAGGCACTTTCTCATTTGCAATTAGGCAGGAAGGTTCTTGCTGTCACATTGACTTCTATTGTCCTGAAACTGTTTTTTCTGTTTTTTCATAAACTTTCAAACTCTTCAACATTCAAAACTTTTTTCTTCTCTCTGTAGTCAAATACAACAATCCCTATTTTATCCAGTTTATTCTCATATGATTCTTTAATCCATTCTACACCTATTTTCAGCTCTTTTATCAAAACAGTGTATCAGCACAAAAATAGCAGTAAGACATTCTGAGGGGGAAAAGGGTGACAATGCTGAACTCATAAGGCATCTGCTGAGAGAATCTGTTTTTAGTTTTATTTATCCAGGGAGAGTTTGCTGAGTGCATATATTATTTTACAGTAAACACCTTCCTTACTACATTTTTACATCTATTCAGCCTTATTATAGAAAAGCTTTGACTGTTGGACACAAGGCCATCGGCCAATACACACATTTTCCGTGCTGAGCTAAAGATTCATACTCTACCTTTTTTACTAACAAGATCTGTTTCCCTTCTATCTAAGGTGCAAGCTATACACATTAACACAGAGTTACAGTCTTTTACTTCCCTAACTCATATTTTTCCCAGTCAGGCGCCACCTTGGTCTGCCTCTCTCCCCTTTAAGCTACCGGCACCTCGAATGTCACACTGTGTGAAAAGAAAATAGCTTCTGATCGCAAACATAAAGTCAACTTGAAACAAGTGTATGGCTCTGACATTTCTTCCATCCCTGAGGGGAGCTTTCTGCTATATCGCCCCCATGACTGACATGGTCCAAGCAGCTTTACTTCTTCTGGTGGTCAATCTGTCAGTGAGTTACTGAAGGGAAAGAAATCTTTCACTACCGCTCGTTCTTTTGTTTCATTTCCAACAGTTGCCAGCCTCAGATACTAACTGCTCCAGTTTTCCTCTGGCTTTCAAAGGTCTACAACCTTTCATGCCTCCTTTGCTGTTTTTTTTTTTAAGTGACTCTTTAGGGCCCTGACACAACATGCTCACAAGCAGACATCTTGGGGGTGTTGAACTTCAGTGGCTGGCTGTAAATTTTGCAATGTGTCCAGCACTGTCGGTTCCAGCGGGCACTTGTCAGCCGAGCTAACTGACTTGCAGTTCAGCTTAGCGAATCAATGATTTTACCCATTTAAGTTTCCTTCTTTTCTTCTTCCACAAGCCAGACACCACAAAACTTCAGATGTATTGGACAGATTCTTAAATTGTCTTCAGAGCATATCTTTTAAAAACTGTCTCAACAGATCTGTGGCATCATGGTAGCAGTTTGTGGTGTGTGTCCTTTCATGTTTTTTAAAATAAGTTGACCATTCAGATGGTTTTTGTTTTAATTATTTACTCATGGATCCACCTTGCTCTGCAAAGCCAACTATCCTGAAAATTAAGTTCAAGTTGAGCAAATATCTTGCGCAGATTTGACCCCCAATGCAGGAAGGAAGTAGTGTGTCCTTAATGGAGCAAAGATGAGGGTGAGGATTAGATGGATGTCTAACACACCACAACCACCATTAACCAGGTGTTTTAGTTCCCTGTATACCCTAGCCTAATCTTATCGTTATTGTGATTTGCAGATATTCTAGTGACCAAAAACTCTTTTATATTCAATCCCTTTTCAAAATATTCTCCTAAATGTCACACACTGGACCTGTAAGACACTAAAAGGGACTGGGACAGAGACTGGGACTAAGAAGACCCACAAGAAAAGACTTAAAATACCAACCATTAAGTGGGACTTCAAACTCCAGCTTGTTTGGAAGAGGACATTTATCAGAAAAAGGAGTCCCAAAACTAATATTGTGCAAAATAATGAATACGTTTCTCTTGAGTGTTGTCTATACAAATCAGGTCACAGTCAGTTAAAGAATCAAAGACTTTATTTCAGTTTGATTTAAAATTAACTAAATATGTTTAGAAAAAATTAAACTTGGACCCTGGGCAGTGCTCTGGCAGAACCACTGCACTACCTCGAGTCTATTATATGGGTGTGACAGTGGATTTGCAGCTGCTCGCAGTTAATATCCTTGTCTGCCATGTTTCCAAGATGACAGATATTGAAGCAGCTGGTTATTATATGCATAAATTGTTCTGAATTATTTGCTGGCTAATGATCAAAAGACAGAGAAATTCACTTTGTCAAATCTTGCAGCATTTCGTCAGCCTGCTTCTTACAGGGGAAGTCCCATAGAGACTAGTTAGGCAGGTTTAAATCTCAGAGTGTACGGTAAGCTATTTAGATAATTAGGACTCTAAACTAAACTTGGCATTGCCCTGTCATTTTCGTCTAGGTCAACATTATAAAGTGAATTCCTTTAGCCTCCAAATACATTTCTGTGCCAGACTGTGACTAGAATAAACAAGATGTGTGCCTCTTCGGGTGGGGACATTAGATGAGAGAAAATTAGATGAGTAATGTTCTCTACTTTCATAGCCGCCACCATCAAGGTGCCCTTGTGGATGGCACCCTACAGGCAAGCAGCCATACTTGGGTTTTGAGTGGCCAAAGAGTTTTTGAACCCACTCATAAATAAACCGCTTGAACATTTTCAAAATTGAATGAAATAAATTTTGAGGAGGCTTTTAAATATAACCTTTTGGTATTTCAATTAATTTATGAATGTAATAAATTACAAAAATCAAAAATATTTATTCCACTATCAATTTCTAGACTGCAATATGTATGTAGTATACAAACATATATTACATACATATTGCAGTCTACTTTTTCACAAACAATGAAATTACGTATAAATAGCCTGGCAGACCATCAGGCTTACGCAGAATGTTTTTGGGCTCGGGTCGGGCCTGATTTTTTGCTTTACTCTACTCTACTTGGGGCCTTACAGAGCACTGGTTACCTGCCCTAATATAAAAGTGGTAATGTGGAACCTTGGGAAAGAAAGGGAGTAGCCCTAGGCTGTCCTCCATATTAGGATTTACATAAAGAAATATAATAATAAACCCATGTTTAAGCACAGAAAAGATAATAAAGCATATATGTCTCTTGAGAAGGAGATCTCGATCTACATGTTTGAAAGGGTAGGGTGAGGCGAGTTGGTTGCAATCTGCAACCTCACACCTAGATGCCATCCTACACAATGGTCCTTCAACATTTACAGTTTCCATTTTGTGACCTCTTTAAACTTACAGACATATGTGTGCTCCTTTAAAAATTAAATGGGGCCCAAGCGACAGAGCAGCAGCAGGAACTCTTGCAAATATAATCAAGAGGAAGGAGACCTGATGAGAAAAACAGCTGCCATAATCAGCACACAAATCAAGTAAATATAGCTGGTTTAGATTCTGGATTTATGAATATGTTACATACAGACCATCACATAACTCTGTGGATGGTCTGCTTTCCACAAATGAACACACCAGAGTTTGTTTGGAGGCAGGCATCTGCTTAACTTTTAAGGTGGACTTGATGTACTTGTTGTTTGGTCTGCAACCGAGTTTGAATGACAGTGTTCCTAAGAGACCAAACAAGAAAAATGAACCAGATTTAATTTAGTGCACCAAATAGATTAGGTGTGAATTCAGGCATTAACTGGCCTTCAGCAAATATATTTATTGTTGGAACTGTGAGTGATATTTGCTTTCCAGGCTAATATCAGCTATTGCTTTTTCTTGCACAAAGAGCTAACAGTGCGGTTTGTGTCTCTAAGCTCGTCTTTGTGAAAGATATTTATTGGAATTTCCACCACTAGGGAAGACTAATGTCCCAGGGCTGCCCAAAATGCATCTGCTTCGATTTCACTGTCAGTGGTGCAGAGGTGGACCCTAGCCCGCCACATCTACTCTTGATTGGTTTAACTGCTCTAATGCAACTATCAATCAGGTCGAGCTGTCTGTCTGTCTGCCTCACTCACTAAAGATTGGAGTATTTCAAGAATGCAGCCTCTCTGCAGAAATTAATTATGCAGATTGACGAGCTTGACTTGTTACAAGCCTGTGAATATCTATTGCTGGTGCCCTAAAGTCAAGGTGATGCAATATTGAACAGGAGAAAAAAGGAATGCGATCAAACCAGAATTAAAAAAATATCAGAGGAATCCAGGCCTACTACTAGAGCAGAAATGTTCAGAGGTAATGGCCAACACATGTTTTTTCACGTGGCCACACATCGCCTGTTCTTGGAAATAGAAAAGAACAGGAAACATTCAGTCAGTGTGGAACAGCAGATCTCCAGGACAACCTGTTATTCTGGCCTCAGATACAAGTGTGACTCAAACTGCTCTAGTTTCTTTTTAGGCCACCACAGAGACCCGTTGCTGTTCATAGCTCTCTATCCTTTCCCTCCCATTACTGACACAGTTAGTTAAGCCCTCAGTGAGAGGCCGTCATCCTGTCTTTTTTAACACTATATTGTTTTCTATAAGTTATTATTAGAATCAACCCAGAAATGCCTGATGAATGACAAGGACTTATCCACTGCAGGAGTGAGAAATTGTGCTGCAGTGGAGATGATGACACTCTCTCATCTTTCCGTGAACTTCAGCGTGGTGAGACGCTCATACGCACATGAGCATATGACTTGTGATGGTTGCCATAGTAATCTCCCTGAGGCTCAAGGCAATTTTTGGAGTAACTGCTATGGGCAACAGCAGCGGCTCAGCATTGCTGCTTTGATCAAACAGAAACAGTCGTGTGAAGGCCAGGAATCATTTGAATAGATTTTGACCCTGTGTCACTTCTGCACTTTCTACTATTCACTGCTTGAATTAAGAATCTTTCAGCTTTATGCTTTATAATTTTTTTGGCACAGTATATGAGCACTAATGAAATGTCTTTTGTTTTTTTACTTGTCTAAGTTGTGTGGCTGAACTGGTAGAACCTTGGGTTGTGTGGCTCACTTAGCCTGATAAAGTTCTGTTACTGTTCGTCTTTATCAGTTGCAGAGTAGGATTTCCCCCCCTCTTTTCACTCTTACTTCCAGAATGACCAACCAACAGAAACAAAGTAGATGCAGAGACATAAGTAAGAAAATATGTACAAAAGGGGGTCTTGCTTTAAGGATTTTTTAACATCCTTGGTCTTATTTTGGGTCAGACAGGTTGCAAAACAAGTTTTCTCATTTAAAGCATCAACAATAAGTATTTCTTTTATATTAACAATCAGTGAATCAGATGACTATATATTGTGAGAGCGGATGTCATTCGGATGAACCTACAGAGAATAATCGCCATTTCTGCAGCTCTGCAGAGCATGCTAGCCTCTTTGAAGCTCAGAGTTTTGATTTAACAGCAGATTCAACGTCTGGTTCAGTCTCACCTCTCTCATCAACCGCACTTCCAGCAGCAGCAGGCAGCTGTTTTAAGCAAAAAGCTCTGATAAACCAGTGGCACACTACCTGCTCATCTCCAAACAGAGAATCTACTGTAGGAGCTAAAGAGACTGTTTTTTTTTGGTGGAGACTAATCCAGAGCTAAAAGAAGACATAAAAAAGAAAAACACAACTCCGGTGGGACATTGCTCTGTGTCTCCATGGTGTCTTAATAGGCTATTGTTTGTTAAAAGTTTAGCTCGAGCAGCTTTTAGTATGTTACAGCTATATGTCTCTCAACTTGTTTTTGGAGCTTCTTGTCCTTCTGGTGGCCAGAAAATGATTAATGCAGCTTTAAAATGGAGTCTTTCAAATCATGAACTTCCCAACGTCCCATATTCAATGTAAACAAGGAATACCTTCCCACTGTCAATCTATATTACAAAATCAATGAAGTGGATATATCAATAAAGCACAATATGGTCTGATCATGACCATTCATCCAGTGCTACAGTGTTGCTATCAACGGGTGAAATCTGATGCTGATCTATAAATCAAATCCTCTGCTGTAGGTATCTCCATTTAACACACACACACACACAAGTTTACATATACACACACCTGTTCCGAGGTAAAGGACACTGTAGTGCTCATCGTTGACCGCTAGGACAATGTCTGCCACAGTACGTGTGATTTGGTCATCTGTGGGCAGATCGAGTGGAGCCACACCGACAGGCCGGATCACATCCTCAATTTCTGGGTGGTATCTGATCACCCCGAGGTTCTTGATGTTGTGACCTCCCGCTGTCGCGTTTTTGACACACTGAGAGGAGAAGTGATGTAATCAATTCAGAGCAGGCTGGGCTCTTGAATACACAAAATACCCTTGGACAAAGAGCTCAAAATTGCTTTTCTGTTATTAACTCATGACTTTCAAAAATAGCACTTCAATCTTTTTCCCTCTGAAATAAAGGCTGACTCACACAATTGCTTTCAGTGTTGTTTTCCTGATCTGTGTGACAAAAAGAGAAAGAAAAAACCTTGTTCATTTTTCTTACCATCCCAGGGCGACCAGTTAATGGACTGCTGTAGCCCTTCAGTTTAGACGTGGAGAAAGCCTGGTCAATATCTTCGATGGAGTAAGCACAGATCACTGTCCTGCCCCTGAAAAAAGGCAGAGAGAAGGGTAATTACATCCACAATAAAAGTATGGCAAGTCATTATGGGGACATGCAGGGAAACAGCTAGAAATTCTCAGCCAACCCAAGGCCCTAAAACAGTAAATATCTTCGATCTTTGACTTGTTATTGGGGCAGTGGACCCCTTAGAGTGAACAAATACTTGCTATTGCTTGTTAACAGTTGAATAGGTCTAAAATTTGTGACCAGTTAAATTAAAGAGGTTTTCTGTCTCATTTGCTAGTGGCAACCAAATAACTAACTAACCAGCTAAATACAAATTTTTACTTAGTGTCCCCTGACAAGATGAGACACTGAACCCAAGCCAGATACTAGGACTCCCCTTGTTTTGGTGGTAAGATTTCCTTTTTCTATGGGATCCAAGATATGTGTAGCCTAGCTTAATACAAAGACTGAGGCAAGTTAAAACTACTAGCCTATCTTTGTAAAAAGTGCAACAATATAGCTTAACAAGTACACATTATGTATTGGTTTACTGCAGTGGTTCCCAGCTGTTTTCCCTAAGGGACCCCTTTTCTTTGACTGACACTGTACAATGATCACAAATAGTGAACGCAGAAACTGCAGAAAGTGTAAATTAAGCAATTTGGATGTATTTTGCAGAGTTTGTTAAAATACAACACTTGCAAATTCGCCAAAAAAACTTAATCCAAAATGGCCAACTTCCTCCAATAGAATAGAATTTTTACTACTACTTACTTTTTTTCCCTCACAATTTTGTGCATTCTTGAGCATGTTAAAGCCTCAAAAATGTGATTCATTTGGTATTAAAAAAGTAAAAATAACCCCAGCACTTTAAATAGGGTCTTTGCATGCTTAGCCCGCAGGCCCTAATAATAACAGACCTACTGTATTTTTTTCTGCAAGTTTTCTTACACCCCTTAAAATCAAGAAGGCATTGCAACCCCCTGTGAAGCTTTGGCAACCCTTTGTTGGGGTTGGGACCCACAGCTTGGGAACCAGTTGTTTACTGAACAACAATTGCTGGGCCTAGCAATTAATGTTAGTGCTTACTGTATTTCAGTGTTTCTCTTCAACTTTTTTCAAAGCCACACAACTATATGAGGAAAATAGAGAAATAAGAATCTGCCAAACTTTGTAACATTTATGTTGTACCATGACCGGTAAACAGGCAACACAAATGTATATCTTTGATATGTCTGAAAAATGTCTTCTTTTTTTTCTGGCAAACGTATTGCAGAAAATTCCACCAGTTCTGTACTTGTATTATTAGACGTATGACAATTATTAGGCAGATTCTTTTTCTAATGAAAAACTGCTGTTACAGTTAAATTAAATAGAAACTAACACTGATAAGACACTTTTTTAAAAAAAACGATGAAATGAATTTCTTGTGTGGGCGTGTGTATTATGTGTGTGTGTCAGGAGGTGCTTCTGGTATGTGGTGTGTACTGCTTTGTGGGAGGATGAGTGTCAGTTTTTCTGTTATCCTTTAGTTTGCATTCCTCATTTTGTTACCAATTTGTTTCTTTAAATTATTTACATGTTATGTGCAGGGTCCAAATGTCATTTTTTTAACATTCAAAGCTTCTATTGAGGTTTTCAATTGAGATTCATCTTTATCAGTTGCCTTAATTTGGATATCTGCCAATACAGATGAATATCTTTAAAATGTGCATTCAGCCATCATGATGAGACTTTAAGACAACCAGACATTTGCTATAGTATGAATGCAGGTTCTAAGCAACATGTCTGCTTCTTTCTGTACATCCATCTGTCTTTTACCTACATTATGCTATATTGTGTCAAAATGTGTCAGGACAGAGCAACCGAAAAAGACAAAAAATGTTAAGTGTCCAATTAGGTTTCATCTGATGTTAATATTAAAATTAGCCTAGCAGCTACCGAGTTACTTTTGACAATTTATATGCTATTCTGGACTGCATGTAGATGAACGTGCATCAACGTTGATGCATGGCTGTTTCTTTTGAATTTGTATGTAGTACGTTGTCTTTATCTCCCTTTCGAACCAACATGAGTTGAATCAAGCAATCAGTATGTTGACTCCTCTGCTAGTCCCTGCAACCAACAGTGTGGCTACCCATAACACCCTTCTCCAACTACGTTCACAGAGATGTTTATGAGTTACAAGCATAATTCTAGCTTCATGCAACACAACAAAGCATCTTTGTTCTGTCTTTGTTTAAAATCCACAAATTCCTCAAAGAGCATAAAAAAAGCCATTTACAGTGTAATTTCCCTTAAGCCAATTAAACTGTGGAAGTGTTTATGTTATGTTCCAGCTCACCATGCGTTGGAAAAGAGGCCATACAAGACCCCAGCCCTCTTGTCCTGTGCTGTCAGCACCACCGCCTGTTTCATGTTGTTGTACTGCTGCTGAGTGTTTCCTGCACCGCACATCACCCGGGCCTTCATAAAGGTGGTCCACGAGTCTGCCAACAGGTTTTTGATGCCCCCTTCATCCACCTGGAAATAACATAAAAGAACTGTGACAACAAAGTCATAAAAGGGCAGCCAAGTGGCTCTGATTGATTTTGAATTTTACTCTGTGTTCCCTGCCAAGATGTGACACCATGGACTCCCTGTCTCTACTGTATAGGGACATTATAACATATGATATTCTGGGGAAATTATTTTTGCTTGCTCTATGTCTGAGCATCCAGGACACAGATTGGTCCAAGATGTGTGTCGCCTAGCTCAGCACAAAGACTGTAAGCAGATGGAAACAGCTAACGTGGCTTTGTTAAAGGAGCCCTCCAGCAATTCAAAAGCTGTCTTATTTGAATATTGTGTATTTAGCAAAACTAGAAACAATCAGTGGTTGAACAAGGTGGTTTAATGTAGCTATATACTGACCAACAACTGCTGCACCCAGAGATATTGGTTAAATATGTTTTTAATAAAAATTATATAACATAAATATTTTTAAACAGCTGGTAGCACAGAGGTAGCTAGCCTGGCGAGACTTTGGTCCAGGGTGCGTTAACCTCAGATCCTTATTGTGATGTGCCAGCTTGTTACACTTTCCTGACTCTGAGGCTCCTGGTAATTCTTGGATGTTTTGTTGAGGCTAACAAATTCTAAGCTAAACGTGCTGGGACCTCTCTTAAAGAATAGTAGCAACATTTTTGGAAAGGCCATACGCTAATTTGCTGTCTTGTCGATTCTTAGACGAGGATCAATACCAATTTCATGTTTGAATAACAAATAAATATGAAGCTACATCCAGTATAACAGAAAGACCAAAAATCCCACACAGCTCATCAAGTATCAGACTCAAAGGACCAGTCTGTAGGATTTAGTGGCATCTAGCGGTGAGGTTGCAGGTTGCAACTAACTGAACACCGCTCACATCTGTATATAACAACCTGGGAATGAGAACAGGCTGTGAAATGTGTAGGTGAAAAACGTACAAGACCCTTTCTATAGCCAGTGTTTGGTTTGTCTGTTCTGGGTTACTGTACAAACATGCCAGTTCATCTGTAGATATAAACAGCTTCTATATTTCTATATGCAGGTGATTATACACTAAATGAAACATATTGAATTGAATATTGTATTCAATCTCTGCCAATAAATCCTCCTTAATATTATACACTGGACCTTTAAATGAGGTATCTAGCGATAAAATCCACCTACCAGCAGCTTTAAAGCTCATTAATTGACATGTCAAAGCATAGAGATGAAAAGGAAATTGATGTAATTTAACACTCATTTAACCAAAATAAGATAAGAAGTGTATAATAAGATTTTGGAATATTCCTCTAATTAGCAGATACATTTCATAAATATCTGAAATTAATAATCATCACATTTTAAACCTTACTTTTTTGCTCTTTTCATTTCTCTTTTGATCTGGGTTTCTTTATCTGAGACCTGACATTCATTTTCATGATTAATTTAGAAGCTAAGTCATGAATCACACAGGCCAGCAGGTGTTTTGCCTTTGACAGCTGATTGGGAAACACCTGCTTTGACATCACTTATTGGGAAGTTAAGAAATACAACATGCTAAAGGTATCTACCCAGAGCAGTGCAACATAACAGAACCTTTTTGAATCCAGCAATTTTAAAGTATGTGCAGATTTAGTGTATATGAAACAGAAATGGTTTATAAAATGTAAATTCGATAGTAGAAATCACTTTGTGTTATGTTGCATTCAGTTCATTTAATTAGGAATTCACTTAGAACCAGTGGTTTTCTTTCAAAAACACATATTTGCAAAATCTCCTGGCCTCAGATACATGCAGTCTGACGAGGGGTTGCAAAAGTACAAAGAGAATTGGAACAAAGACCTGGATCCATACACATTTCCTCAAACACAGGCACATAAGTGGGACTGTTACCGTGCAGATTCGGCCAATGCGGGCCCTGTAAGGCTCCTCGTCCACACTGGCTGTCTTGTTAAGCTCACTGAAGAAGAAGTAGACTTCCTCCTTGAACTTTTGTGAAGATGGGATTATGGCTGCACCCGCAAACTGTGGATCTGGTGATGAGATTTAAACTGTGTTCATGAGGTACAATTTACTTTCAAGATGTCTCATGGGTCAAGCAATTTCATTTTCTACTGTAATCTACTGTTAATATTAAACTGTATGTAAAATGAGGAAATTATGAGAATCCACAGGAGTGTAAATGGCTGCTTTCAGTGGATATGTGTCTGATTTGCATTTTACTGCTGTAAATAATTTGACCCACACCATGAACACAATGACAGCAAATACACCTACATGTTATTTTTCCCATGGGAATGATAGTGGGTGATTTAGAGAGAGTACCACCCACCATCTCCATATTCATTAGTCTAAACCTTTACGGTTTCTGCACGACTCCCCTCCTCCTACTCACTCAGCAGCCAAATGTTCTCCGTCTTCAGGAGTTTCTGTGAGCCAAATGTACGCCGGATCATGCCGGGGTGACCTGCCACTGACGACATTGCAGAATACAGACTCCCATCTGAGACAGCGAGGGAAAAAAGGAGGAAGAGGAGAGAGAGTGAGCAGTGGGTAAAAAATACCAGGTACAAGAAAGATTGGATTGACACAGAAGGGGGATTGACTGAAGCTGAAGGAGAGGAAGATACAGAGACAGAACATTAAACACAGGGAGAGATAGCGAAAACAGAAAAAAAAGGAGGCCCAGGAGGCCACAGACAGAATAAAAAAACAGGGGGGACGGGGAAAAGGAGAACAAGAGCAAAGAAGACATCAAGGCAGACTACACGGATGAGCATCCACCAATTACTATATTCTTATAACCCCACTTAGAGCTTTGTCTCCATAGCAATGCAGAAGGGAGGCATTTGAAATGGTGGCAGTAACATCTTAATTAGAACAGATCGTTATTAGAATGCTGCTCAACTCAACCAAAGGGCCGGCTTGTTGCTTCAATAATCGATCCCCATCTGGAGGAGCATTCTGCTGTGCAAACTAACCTCTCACTAATTTCTGACTGTCTCCACAAACAATCAATCTGCGTTAAATTCGTCCGTCCCTCATCATGTGCTGTGACTACCGGAAGATCGGTTTAATTCCAAACATCTCTGTTTAGTTAATGTGACCCTGCACTTCCCAATAATCACACAATTAAGAGTTTAATTGATGGATTACACCCCCTACTAATTGCCTTTTATTCTGTCCAATGGACCTGGATTTACAATACATAACACTTAATTAGCAACCCTTTATTTTCACAAAAAGCATTTTTACCAGTATAGAGAGTATGTACTCTTTGACATTGTTGCCAGGTGTCAAAATGAACCAACTGTGGCTGCTTTAAATAAGGAGATATGTGATACTGGGAGGAAAACAATAAAACCCTTGAAGAAATTGCCACTGGCAATGACAATGATTGGTACAATGTAGGCTGCCAGACAGTCAGTGGTATGTGGATATTGAAATGTGGCCAGATATTGAGTTTCCTGAGATATATGTGTGTACCTCGACACTGGGGAGGTAATGGAAGTAAACACAACCTGCAGGGCATACATAACATGCATGGTCCTATTTTTAAGAATTTGTCAGCCTGATCAAAACCACTAGGACTTCAAAAACTTTTCTGGTCATCTGAGGACAAAAGAATGTTCTGATTTTATTACATTTCATTGAGAAAACAATTTGCCTGGTTAGTGACCATTGTCCAGCCTTTCTTTTCTCTGAAGCGTTCTGCCTGAATTCTTTTTGAATCTGTTTGTGCAGTCAGTTGTACAACTGCTCCATTTTAGCAATGTTTTCCATTATTTTTTAGTGCACACTGGCAGATGGCTGAGTCCTGTGTGTTTGGCTCTCAGGGCAGTGTGATCCCTGGTGATGTTAGACTAATGACATATATGATCTGCACAGGAACAGAATCAGTACAACTCTCTGACTTTCCTTGGGACATGTTGACCTTGTGTTGTTGCTCTCCTTAAGGTTACTCTTTTTTTTTATGTTAGGGGGTAGTCAATAGTCTATGCTTAAGTGAGGCTTTGTTTTATTGTAAGATTGATTCAAAAGCTACTCAAGCTTTTCAATTCTGTTTGTAGTAACTCAGAAATTATTTTCCTGTGGTTGATTCTTTGAAGAATTGTGTGATGTACAAAATGAAAACAGAAATGCAATCTCGCCCAACTTTTACTTTGAAAGCGGCAGAGAGAAAACTTGAATGACGTTTTACATTTCAGTAGAGGTTGAACAATAAAGGATTTTTAAAGGACGATAAAATAACCATAGTTATTTTTAACTTTTATGTATTCGAAATGTATTGATAAATTCAGATAGACTTAAGTTGTATGGGGAAAATTATACTGCAATTGTTTCTGATGTTAAAATAAAACCTTTCAGACAAAGATATGTTTCCTAGAGTTGGAAACAAATAGTCATCATCACAATAATCATCACAGCTTTATAATTTGCAAAAAATGCAAAAAGTGAATTATCCTTTTATCACCGAAACATCAGTCAGATTTTCTGGGGTTGTCATGCATGATGCCCTTCACTTCTGCAGCAGCCTGGTAAGACAATGCTCCATGCCGTTTAAACCAGTTCTTTGTCGCTCTGAATTAAATCAAGAGTATGAGAATATCTTTAAGTGTGATTTTGAGGATTACATTGTTTGAATATATGCTACTTATTTATGAGTGATGCGCTGTTCCTTGGCTCATGACAAGCCAGTTGCATTTCCTGATACATTGTTTTATGCTGCTCTTACAAACCATTAGTGTGGGACCCTAAAGTGTATGATTTAATTTCAGGAATAGATAGTTATGTTGCTGGATTATTTGGAAGAGATAACACCAAATTTTAAGTAAAATAACAGGTTTCTTTTCTGTTTCACTTTGTAATGTTGTCCCCAAGGGAAATTGGTGTCCTCTCTATCTGACTTTTTTGTATCGTGGACAGATCGGCCAAACTGATTAAACAGTCGGCCTCTAATTTGCAGTAATAGTAGGCAACATATTAGATCTTGTTTAAGGTACAAATGTGGATATGTTTTAACATGATCTATTAACATATACTAGCACATTTATCTTGTTGAGGATTGGTTCTCTAAAATACTGTATGGTACTTTAGGCAAAAGCATCTACTCATTTGCATGTTATGAATAGACAGTGATAATAAGAGACAGATTGCTCCTGGGAACCCGGGACTCACAAGTGTCGCTCTGCTGCTCTCGACTCAAATGAGCAAAGTTAATATAAAGGGCTGAAGGTGGCTTTGTTCCAAAATAAGATATTTAACAAAGTGACACCTTTCGAAAAGAAGGTGAGTCTTTTGAAATGGTGACAGTGACGCTTACAAAACTTAACTCTGTGAGATTTCAACGTGGAAAAAGAATTCCATTCTTTACCTCACCCCAATTACCTCATTCAAATAGGGGTTAACTTTGTTGAGTTTAGAGAACCTTAAGACTCCTGACATCAGTAAACATTATGCATTTTCACAAACCACTAGTTTTCTTGACAGCCTCATTGTGATACTTGATGGTTAAATGGTGTGTTTTCTTCATTGTGCTTTGTTTTTGATTGGTGAGGTAGAAAACAACCTCGCTAGCTAGCTGTTGTGGTTTGCTTGATCGCTGGCTTCTAGCCTTGTGGCAAAATGTGGGGTAATTGCATCCTATCAGTTCTAAATTCAAAAGGGGACACCTATGATCAAATAAACTTTAAATTACATATCCTTCACATTTAACCACACAGGACCCAATTATCTTAACTAAATGCACCTGTAATCTGCCTCCAGATACGGATTACTTAGGTTCACCAGCAACCACAAAACTGTTCTGTGCCAAGAATGATTAACAATGGTGTCTTTTTGTAAGGTTTTATTCCTTTTCCTCCCACTGAATCATGAACTCTTGTAATTTTTACCTGCAGGCAAGCTGATAGACCTCTGGGAAGGGTAAGGTGGTGAAATGTCAGAGGCCGATGCTATCTGTCCATTGCCCTGGACGTCAGTCAGCACAGTGTCATTTACCTGCCGGGAAAGGGAGGAGAAAACCTTTGAGCCTGGAAGAAGTCTAGGATTTTAAACCCTGTTCTTTCCAGGCATACATCATCATGCATTATACATTATACAGGCTACTATCCCAAGACCCAACACTCAGAGTAATCTTATGTCACTACACTCAGTTTATCCATGGGGGCACATATTCATTACTGAGTTAAAACATCCTCCATGGTAATAAATAACTCTTTTCAATCGATCTTGAGACTGTTTAGACTTGAGGAGCAGCTGCAAAAGGACTTATAAGCATTTCAAGGAATGTCTGAAGGAACTCTTACCAGCATCCAGCACCTGGGGCTTCCGGCGTTTGTACCACATACTATGATTGTGTCGTTTACTTTCTGAATGACGGTGATGAAATTATCACACTCCAGCTGTGAGAGAAAGAGACAGTGAAAAAAGGGAACAAAAGCCGAAAATGAGGCAGAAGCAAGAGGGAGAGGGAGAAAAATACACAGATTATGAGAGGGATTAAAGATGCAGAGCGACACAGGCAAAAGAGGGAAAAAACTGTGGAGAGTATGTGGAAAAGTGATTATAGAGGACAAGACAGCACAAAGGGAAAGAGAAAACAAGGGAGAGACCAAGGGATTGAGAAAAACAAACAGGAAGAGAGGAAGGTGGAATAGAGGGATAGAGAAACAAAGCGAGAGTACAACACAAAACAGATTAGGAGAGAAAAAGCGGATTGCTCAGAGAGCGATTTAAGAAAAACTGGATGCGATCCATGCTCTGAACACTTTTGGCAGACAGTGCACAGGAGGCTTAGCCCTGCAGTACAACACTGCAATACTCCATATGCATCACTTATTTATTAAGTACAGAAAATGGACTGCTATCTCCAGGACAATAGTGGATAGAGGATGAAAATGAATACTAAGTATTCCCTTAAGGGGCAAATTCTGGTTTTAGGTTGCTCATCTTTGTGTAATATTTCTTTAACAAAAGTATACTTTTTAGAAAACAATCAAATTACAAATTCTGATGGAAACAAGGTTAGCAAAAACTGGAGACGGAGGAAGTACATCACTGAGTCCAGAAACAGGGCCAGAGCTTGTGTAAGTGTGTGTAGGAGGATATGTAGGTGGATGTGTAGGTGGCTGTGTAGGTGGATGGGTACGTGGATGGGTAGGCAGGTGGGTGGGCTAGAGTAAAATGTGTGTGAGTGTATCCAAGTTTGTATGTTCTTGAGATGAACTATGAGTTTTCCTGCCTTCCATTGTCCACACAAAAATCTAGGACTGAGGTCATAAAATCAGAATTAGGTTTAAGGGTTAGGTGTACAGAACAATGTATGCTATCTGGAAGAATAACAACAAGTCTGTGTAGTTGTGGACGTGTCTTTCTGGGCCCAATAGCTGATTTCAACCTCAAACCAATGTCTACTTGTGATGCATCGTTATATTTTACTGCACTGCTTGGCAAAAAGCTCTCAACGCTGCTAAAAAACAATGCTCATTTGAATACCAGCCCAGTATCCTTAGGAATTATATCCATATTCAGTGATTCCGCACCTCATGATTTATGTCCAAAGCCAAAGTTCAGTTCCGATGCAGGAAGTAGTGCGCCCTTTTTGAGCGAGGCAGTAAGTCTTTGGAGGTTGGTTGGTGTGCAGGCATGAAGCATGTCAGACTTTCATACAGGAAATTGGAGATCACCTCTCATCGTAGAACTCAATTAACATTCACCTTTCTATAAAAATCAATCTTTCCCTAACCTTAAGTGTTTTAGTTTCCTAACAGCAACCATACCTTAACCTTGACCATACCGTAACTGTATAGGGTTAATGCAAGATTTAAAATTTGTTCTTGTTATGTTCAACCTGGACCATATTTGACTTTGGTACTCAGCATCACTTCAACCAATCAGATCAACAAACCATATAATGTAGTCAAACTCTGACCAAGCTTTCAGGAGAAGAGAAAAGCCTTCAGTGGTGTTATTTGCTTTTCTTTTAAAAAAGAAGAAATACTCTCCAGTTCTAATATAACTGATGCTATGTCACTTTTCCCATGCATTGGCACACACACCTAGTTAAACCATGCCCATAGCTCAACCGTAGCTGCTGTTAGTTTCTCATTTGACGCTGATTGGTCCAGCATTGATTTTTTGATCTTGTGAGTCCAGATCTTGTGACTCTGGACAAATGGAAGGTGGACAGCAGTCCAATAACATTGTGGACTTGGAGGTTGTTGGAAATACAGTCTGCCTATCAAATTGCTACCTACTGTTAGCCTCCTGTCTCCATCTCACTCCAGGGGTTTTCCCACAAACCATGTGGCTGTCTATTCTTGAAGGAAGTTTCCTCCTCTGCTACTTCCCAGCACCATTCGCCTTTTTGGGGAAGACTTACTGCATCACTCAGGACATTATCATATTCCACCATCTGCCACTGCCAGACTCTGAAGCTTTAGCTCTGTTTGTGCAGGAAAAACAGTGCCCTCTTTGTGTTGTGCCATAATTCCACTAACACTTTTTAAAATGAATTGAATGAATCGCTTTAAATTGCAAAAGCACTCTTGTCCCAATGACAATATGCTCATGGTTGCCACAATACACATCCATCCTTTTAGTAAGGATTCTATTAAATGTTTTGGGGCCAGTGGGCATCATGTGACCTGCTATATTGAGTGTGACCACTATGGCAAAATCACATCACAGGTACAACCCACTGCTGTCCCTGCAGGTTTGTTCCTGATACACTCAAAAAACAGAAGTAAACAGCAACATGGACAGGGGTCGCTCACAGGCATTTGGTTCTATACACACTATTCAGAGGCGATCCCTTCGGACATTATAACTTAAGAAACTCACATCATGTGGAACCTTCATGGCTATACAGATGCTGAAAGTATAGTAAGTGTTAATATTGCTCAACTTATGATAAAGAGTCCAGTCATATGTTAAGTATTTCAATTTGGCTAAGTAGCAAGGTAAAAATTAATTCCCTTTTTTGTCATGGAGCAAATGCATAATTTGACCATGGGTATAAATGCAAAATTAGTTTCAATGATCTTGTTAATTTCCTGTAATTATAAAACTTGTCAAAATGGATGTGGGAATTATTCATTGATGTAAAATGGTAAAAATGGTCTTGGTATTTAAAGTACAACCTTTAAATACATAGACATCTGATTTTCCATTCGCCATAGCCTGCCTTTTTTGTCATTAGGATTTCTTTATTTTTTTATGACAAGCAGCATATTCAATTCAATTCAATTCAATTTTATTTGTATAGCGCCAATTCATAACAGAAAGGTTATCTCAGGGACACTTTTCAAATAGAGGCAGGTCTAGACCGAACTCACTTTTACATTTACAGAGACCCAACGAGTACCACCCATGAGCAAGCACTTTGGCGAGCGGGGGCAAAGGAAAAACTGCCTTTTAACAGGCAGAAACCTCGGACAGACCCTGCCGGCTCTAGGTGGGTGGTCATCTGCCCTTGACCAGTTGGGGGAGAGAGAGAGAGAGAGAGAGAGAAGAGAGAGACAGAGAGAGACCAGAGAGACAGAGAGACAAACAGATGTAAGCAACAACCGCAACAACTACATTGAACGAGTAATGATCGATGACGATCATGAATTAAGCAACACTGTATCCTGTGCTTCTTAAGATTATTCATTAGCCTCGGAGCATTTTATATTAGGTTAAAGCTTCCCATGTTCATAGAATTATTTCAGGTTGAATATTGTATTAAACTCCTGGTATTCTCTTAGTCTCTCTAAGGAACCTAATGGAATTATTCACTGCTATTATCAACAGTTCACTCATCTGTGCATTGTGTGTTTTGAGGTGAAGCTGTCTCCTGTGTAATTTTATCTGTATAAATTAGCATTTTATGTATATTTGTTTGTCTTTATTGCATATTTAATAATTGTTTACACTCTTAAATCCTAGGAAAATAGTAATATTAACCTAATCTAAAATAATCTGATCTAAGAAAACTGTAACTCTACCTTCATTGTAGTGCAAATGCATATGATGATGATGATGATGATGACAGTGATGAGAAACAGGATGATATCGATGATTATACACTGGTGGAGGAGGAGAGTGCTTTGCAGAAGTTATGGAGGTGCTGACAGTGAGGATGAGCTTCTACCTCGAGTGGTGCAGCCTTGGCCTTGCAGGTATCAATTGCAGTCTGATCAGATGCCGCTGGGATCTGTAGGAGGGAGGACTGTTTAGTTTGTGCCAAGTTCTTACACACTCCTGTTTCAGCATGAAAACAGCAACCCTGCTACAGCTGCTAAAACACAGTCACTCTGTGATGTTCAGTGCATTTAAGGACATTTTTCTTCTTTTACATTATTATTCTAGCCCTGCATTCCTACCCCTACCTAGCTCCTGTTCTTCACATTTCCCAGAATTTCCCCAAAAGCATGTCCATGAACTTGTTGCACTCAGCATATGTAGGTGGAAAGAGCATAGAAAGAACGGTGCAGAGGCAGAATTAATTTATCCTTCTGAGAAAACTGCTGAGCTTTGTACCCTTCAGTCAAACAAGTATTGTTTCTGCATTGCAAAGTAGATAACTGAGTTTCTTGAACCTTTAATAATAAATGTCTCCCACTACAATTGTTGAATCTTAGAAAAGAAGCACCTGCTCTTTCGTTCCATGTGGCTAACATCATGAGTTGATGTTTACTGTTGCTGTTTTTAAGAACTGAAAACTGTTTTAACTTTTTCACTGTTATACTCACTGTTACAACTAACCTGCACAGGAAATGACTCAACCTGACTAGATGTCACTTAATTGTGTGAGTGAAAAAACACATCATCACACATCAAAATAGTCCCTCAATGCCAAACACGTCACTGTTTTTCCACCTGTCTTTTTGTCTCCACTGAGGAAAACCCAACACTAAGCCTGCAATCATTCCAAAAAATAGGGCATAGTCATATTGGATGAAAACACCAAGCTTACAGTGTCTTCAATTTGTCAGGCCAGTCAGTGCTGACACTGCAGCCCACACACTGTGTAATGTTATGTGTTGACATTATTAGCTCTGTCAGTTTTTTCTTTCCTCACGGGGAGAGATAGGTGTAGCTTTATTAATGTATGCATGACCCAACTTCCTCGGCCCTGAGCTGCTGATCTGGGTCAGTGGCAGGCCAGCTGTCTCGTCTCTCTCTGCCCTCTCTGGCTCACTGGTTCACCCTCACAGCAAGAGGGCAACTATATTTGTTGTTATCCAGCTGAGTCTGGAAAACAGTTTTTGCAGGAATAAACATTTCAAAGTAACAAGTTTAGTTTAACTTACTACTTAGTTGTCATGTTAAAACCTTTCCCTGAGTTAGTTGCAACTAAACTCATTTACATCAAGCGAACATTGACATTTTAGGAATATGTTTATTCACTTCTTGCTAAGAATTAGATTATCTAATATCCATACGTTAAGCACAGAGATGAAACCAGGATAAAGTTACTTTAGCTTAGCTTAAAGCCTGGAAGCAGAAGGAAACAGCTAGCTTGGCTCTCTCCCAAGCTCCAACAACACCTCACATATCTGTTTGTTTAATGTGTACACAAATAAAATTATAAAAAGTTCAGTTTAGTTATAGAGCCATTTACGTGCTGTAACTGTTTCTCGACAATTTATCATTTATCCATCCACCCTAGGCTAGGCTAATTACATGTTGGCTTCAGATCCATGCATGACACACAGAGAGTAATATCTCTTCAAACTACAGTCTAATATCTAACAACTATGCTATCCAGAGTAGGTTTATTGGTCTGTGCTCTCACAGTCCCACATATCATTACTTGGAAGCTGCCCAGTCAAACCTTGCGAGGCGGGAGCAAAGGGCTCTACAGTGCCCATTTGAGAATCAAACCAGGACCTTGTGAGACAAGTTTGTAATGTTGGCTTTTGTAAATAAAATTAACTTGATTTAAAGGCCCTGGACACACACACACACACACACACACACACACACACAGAGAGGTGTTTTGGGTTAATCTGCTTGATTAGACGTCTGCTCAGGCTGAAGATGGGCTGAGCTTTGCTGGGAATTACTGTATGTGACATCACACGTAGCAATATGGCTGATAAAGGTGTAAGTTGTCCTACCTTAACAACTGCAACAGGAGAGTAAGGGAGGTTTCATCAGGCAACAAAACTGAAAACATACATGTAGGTGTACCAAGGGTGTGCAGGGCCTTTAACTCTTGTTACAGTCTCTTCTCTGCTTTCATGTTGTGCATCTCCAAAATGTCTTTTGAAGTAGACTGACTTAAAAGCTTGGCAGTATTTAGTATTTCAACTGGTGTCTGGCAACTGATATTCTATATCTACTTTCTACATGGCAGCAGAGTGGTTCCCCATTACAAAAGGCTGTCTGGAGCTGAGAGATTAATTCCCCCAAAACATCTCTTTAGAGCATCGGTGTACACATCAGCAAAATGATCTAAAAGTATACCTGTAGGTCACGGACCCCTCTGTTAGTGAACGTCAGCACGTAGACCATCGCCTGGCCGCCCACATACAGCGTGTCACTCCCTTCCTGGTGGTACATGCTGATGTAATTCTCAGGTTTGTTGAAGTGGAACCTGGAGGGCTCTGTGGATCATAACAAGATATATTATGGAGGCAAGTTGGCAGACAAGAGCCTTGCTAGAGTACATTTTTGTTGTTTTGATTGTTAAAATGTATGTTTTTGTTTGTGCAATGACAATATGCCCTGTTGTAATGAATGCAAATGAACTGAACTCAATGAAATGTATTCTAAAAAAACACAAAAATCAACAACAGCACCAGATTTTCTAACACTACTGCGACAAATTTTTACTAGTACTAAGTAAATCATTAAGAATAAGAAGGCAGAGGAATACATACAGTACAACATTTTTCCAAAAACAGTTTAAAAGCAATTTTCAAATGATAGGGAATCAATCCAATCAACAGCTAAAGCAACAACAAAAAAAACAAGGTACTGCAATAAAAAAGATTCATAAAGTAGAGGTCATACAACAATAACAAAAGGTCAATGAAAGCAAAATTGAGTCTCAGGAAGTTATTTAAAAAGATGATCCAGATTTAGCCAGCCTAAGCTCCTCAGGCAGGTCGAATCAAATTCTAGAAGCCCTGATGGCAAAGAGCCAAACCTCTGGATTTTAATCTACATTTAATCTGCAGTCCATATGGGAGCCGGCTCAAGGACTCCTGCCTATGAACTGGTTTGATTTACCCAAACATTCAATCTGACGTTACTGCCCTTTGTGATTTCAGATTGAACAGGGAGACTTTACAGAAACCTGGCATGGATGTTAAAGGAAAAGGGCATTTGGTGGGAGCATAAATATCACTGAAATAATCATGTGGGCAAATACCATCACACATGCTTGGTTGAATTACACGCAGGACATCTCCAGAAGGCTCAAAAGTTCATTTTGGCATTTCTGATTCACCCATCCAATCAGACTCACACTTACCTACACTGCCAACTGTGCCTGCATTTAAAAATAGATTCAAATCACTGCTACTATTTAAGACATGGCACGCAAAACATGTACTAAAAGTCATCTTGACGATATAAAAACTGCCCTGTCTATGAATGCTATAATTAAAAGGGGAGTTTATAAAACATCACAGTGTCAAGCCCTTTAGTGGACCTGTCAGCCTTTTTCTTTCATTTGGTCTCTACTCCAAAATCTCCCCATTTATTTTGTCAAGTGAAATTTCATAAAACTTCAGTCTGAAGAGTTAAAAACCTTCCACAGCAGAACAACCAGCTACCTGTAGGCTTCTGGCAATAGATAAAATGATATACTGTAAGGAATTTGAGTAGCAGAAAATATTACAAAACCAGGAAATTTAAAAACAGGAGGAACAAAGTCAGAAATGAATAACTTATTCTACAGCTTTCATTTTCCCCTTTCATTTTCAACAAAGATACTTCATGAGTAAGAAATATTATTTAATATTATGTAATTCAGTTTCAAACTGATAATGCATTTTGCTATTGGTCTTTCAATATAAAGATATACACTAGTGATGACAAGAGGTGATTATACAGGTCATGGTTATATGGTATTTGTAATGATTTCCTTCTCATCCCTGAAATAAAAAAAAAGACATCCAGTCTTACAGCAAAGCCAAGATGAAGTGGTGGTGATCACTGATACAGGTTGCTAGCCAACCAACTAAGTTTCTATGGAAACAGTGGCCTCTCTGATTGGCAGGAATCTAATTGATGAAGCTTGTACTTCATAAGGAAGTGAGGAATACACAAGGAAGGGCCTTGTGGCTGATGGCTTAGGTAAGAACATATATATTAATTTCACTGTCTGACAATCTCAAGAGGAACACCCTGTAGCTGGCAAAGCACAGATTGGCATAACTATTTACTTAAGAAGTTAACAAGCAGAACTTTACAGCCTCTGTTAATTCAGTCTGGCTTCAACAACAGAGAAAAGGTTAATCTTCTGTGAGACATCAAGCTCAAAGAAAATAAAAATCAAAAGCTAAATAGAAAATAGCAGCTGGTGTTAACATATACCGCCCTACCAGCACACAGTTATGCTAAAGAGCTTATAATAAGCTGTTTCTTTAGCAGCTGGCTAAGGATTTTTCTTGCTAGTCCTTTTTAAGTTTAATTTAATATATTTGACAAGACTACAAACAACTTAGCTAGTAGCTTGCTACGTGCCATAAAAATAACAAATAATAATAAAATTGATGGCCAATATTTTCATCCAAACTGTCTCAACATTCTGTCCTATCCTGACATCACCCAGTGGTTTGTGAAGTATCACTTTGAAGCTTCGATTTTGGCATTAAAGCTGTTGCCAGGGCTTATTTTTCTAGCCAGCAGCGCTGCGCTCATTGGTTGAACTTGGTTTCCTGGTCATTTACTTTCTTGTACTATGATGAACAGTATACTAAAATATGTTTTTGACAAGATTTCAAGCAGGAAATGCAGTGAGTGTTAATTCATATTTGATGAGCACTGCCTAATCTTTATGGTCTATTTTACTCTAAATAGGACCATCATTTGAAAAATGAACATCATGATGTATTAAAGAAGACTTGAAACTACTGATTGAGACCATAAAGCAATTCGGAAAACGAGGTAATAAATCAAGTGAGAGACTCAGTACTGTCAGACTTCTGTTTTGCAACCCATGGAGCTTACCCTTACCCTTAAGAATGCAGGTTTAAGACACTTTCACATAGTCTTCATTTTACAGAACCAGAAGCTCTATTCACTAATTATATACTGTCAATGCTTCACATTAAATTTAGCCTTCAAATTTTAAAACTCTTGTACCATTTCTGTAGAGAGTATCATATAGTGTAACAGAACTTGGTTTAAAACATTATAGGTACCCAGTTGAGATTCTGACCACTAGATAGCAATTAGTGAGCAATGTTTTCATGAGTGGGTCCCCAATTAATTTGTTCTCGTACACACTCATGAGGATGAGCAGACAGGTGACATAATGCACATTCCTGCCAACGTATTCACACTATTCCACTCATCTACGGGTGGCAGTAATGTGTCATTAATAAACAGGGTAAAATTAGACTGCTACTTTAGCAAATAAACATTGACAAAGAGTTCAGGTTTCAAAATTTTGTCAAAAATTTTAGTTTGCAAATGTTTCATGAGAAAGGATGATGCATTCAAGCAGTTTCTTAGGCATCAAGGCACAAACACAAGAAACAAACACATTGCGTCTAGGTGAGCAACACTGAATGAAACACAAAGCTAATCTCCTCCCCCACCTATCCCTGACTGAACAAAACACCTGACTGTCAGATGCTGTCCCACCTCTTTAAACAACCAAAAGCATGTAGACACATGTCATTTTAACAGTGTCTTGTTCAGTGTCTTTCCTAACAGAATTTTAAAAGGGACACACATATACAACTGAAATGTCCTATTCTAGATGTAATTGTAACTCCTGACTTCTCTCTTGCACTCTCTATGTGTGAGCATGTTTATTTTTCTTTCTTGCTTAGACATTTAATCATTGCTGTTCAGTAAAAACCTTGAATTTTCAAAAGGTCAGCTTTTCAGGAACTGAGAAAAACAGCCTTGTTTTTCAGCTTGTTTTCCAAAAAAGGCTTCATTAAACTCAGGGCCTGCAGAGATCCCTCAGAGGAGCATGTAATCCTTGAATGAATTTAAAACATTTTAACACATTAGTGAGCCACTTTTAAAGAAACAAATCCTAATTGCACTTAGAAATGTTCTAATTAAAGAAGAGTAAAGCACAGGTGTTATTTTTGGGAATACTCTCACTTGCAAATGAATAAAGCATTCTGGGTATTGAAAAAAAACAGGAGAGGCAAAGTCGGACACATGAATTTCATTTACATAGAATCTTTTAATGCAAAGTTGTTTTGTGGATGGATCTCAAGGTCCTCCATTTTGGACTTGACAAAAAAATCTATCAGGCTCATGGTTCAATAGGGTTTTTGTACTGAGGTACTCCGGCCTTCAACTGAGAGAGAAGGTCAACAAAGAGATAGCTGAACTTTGGCAAAATGTTCTGGTATTTAGGATGCAGCCATAGATGTCAAATTAGCCTTGAGATGAGCTGTTGTCTCTCTTTCAGTCTTTACTCACTCTCTTTCTTTGTATTTCTCTTCATATCTCTCCTCTTTCTCTTCCTTTATATCTCTGATATAATGAAGTATTCAATATTTCTATTGTTTGTGTTAGAATTTTGTATTAAAGCTACACTAACTTTTTATATTATGATTGGCTTAATGTCTATGTGTAATGTAAAAGGTGTTGGTGGTAGTGATGAACCCAAAGAGAGAGTTATTAACCATTCTCACCCCTGGTTGTCAAATACCAACACTTTGTCATGCCTCCTCTGCGTCTCATACATACGTGCATGGCACCCTTTTAGCGCTTGTATGAGAAGCACCAGGCTCCTAGAAGGCCTTTTTAAATTAAAACTTAAAATAACATTTACTTTTGGTTTCACATGGGGCACAAACCCCAGTCTCCTGTGTTTGTTTGACTCATCCATCCACCCCACCGACTCCATGTGTTTTGCTTTTTGTACTACATCAGTTAACACGGATGGATTTTACATTGAAGCCCAGTGTGTCTCATACAGACGCTAAACTGTACCCTGTGTTTCTGTATAAGACATCGAGGAGCGTGACAAAGTGTCTAGTATTTGATGACCTGGGAATGAGAATGAGAGTCAGTTTTTCACATCTTTCGGCTGACTATTTGTTTTCAGAGAAAAAGCTCTAATTAACTAACTTTACACCATCTGCCCAGTACCAAAACAGTAATGCTGCTTTAACAATATTTTTTTGTATTCATATTATTCAATGTTAATTAGAATTTGTTCTTCTATGATATGTGCCCATTCCATGTTGTTGATAATGATTGTTTTATTCATATATACAGTATATAGGCCGACACTGGGTTTAAGCACACCTGATAAAGTTATTATAGACCTGAAATAAGTCTTACTTTCATTAAGGTTACAATAGTCAGTATTTGTTGAAAAGTCTCAGAGGCATGTTGATTCAACTTAATGGGCATTTCGGAGACTGTCATTTATGGTGCTGTTGAACTGCACTGTATTATACTGAGAGGTGTAATAGTTTGTCTATCCAATTTATATAAATATGGCTAGACTAAACTCTCTAAAACAGTTTCGTAAAAAACTAGAAATGATTACATTTATGAAAGTAGAATTTATTGTTCTTGTTTGCTCTTAGTTGTTTCTTTGGAAGGGAGGCACTTACAACCTCAGATGACATCTTGTTACTACTGAGGTGTAATGCACTAAAGTGTCTGCCAAATCAATGCAATGTAATGTATTCCCTAACCCCTACAATAACTCCAGCCATGACAGTATGTCCTCCCTTAACTCTTGAACTAAATCCAATTGTAACCTAAATCCCAAAACCAGGTTGTAGTCATCAAACAGTTCCTTGAATGTATATGAACCTGCCAAATGACCTAATTTGGCAAAAACGTGCAAAGTGAGGACATTTTACCGTCTGAGGACCTCGGCGCTGTCCGTGGTGCTGAAACAGCGCCAGCTCCTTGTGAAGGTTCTGCACTTCAGGCTCAAACTGCGCCTTTGATGGATTTCTTCGGACAGTTTTCTGCCTGTACACTGTGTGTGTGTGTGTGTGTGTGTGTGTGTGTGTTTGCACGCGCGCGCGCGCCCTAACAACAGGCATTCATAGCTCACCCTGAAATTGCATAACTACGAATTTGATTGATATGACATGCACGTCCGGGGCCGTCATCTTGTGCGTTTTGTACTGTGCTCATCGGCGGGGAGGGGAGGGATACAGATACAGATAACTTGACACACAACCCCCATCTTTACTGATTGCTGAATACATTAGAGGACTGTGTGAGATGTAAAGAGGCGTGAGTGGAATAGATAACTAAGAGTCTGCTAGGAATTTTCCGTTCATTGCTGTCCCCTCCCTTTCTCCCCCTCATGTCAGTATATTCGTACATGTAGCCTGTGCACTTATGGCGGCTGCTTCCCTAAAGCAATCCTGAAGCCGCTGGGCTCCTCTGCTGCAGTGTGAAAGCAGCTGCCGTGTCCCGCATTGCAGCTCCGCAAGGACGCGGGAGCTATAGTGACTGTGTCAACCTCCAAAGAGTCATATTTCACAGTAATGCTTTTCGGCGGTGGCAGGCAGGTGTTTAAAGGGTAGCCTACAACCTCGCCTTGCGTTTAGGGCGAACTGGCCCCAGTGTTCCTCCAGAAGACAGGGGAGAGGTTGTTTTTGAGCACTTCTGGTTTTATCCAGCTCGGTGCGCCTGGAGGAGGTGAGGATATGGACGGACGGTCGCAAATTAGCCTAGAGCCTAGGTGTTCCTCACTGATAAACAACCAGCCATGGTGCATTTTAAAGACCAGCACACAGTGAACTTAGTGCACTGAGATAAAGCAAACACTCAAGTTGTCAAAAAGACGAGGAGAAAAGCCACAAGTTGCACAAATCAGATCCAAATTATTCAAATGTGCCTTTGTGTACAAAATAACCTGGGATTTTAATGGACACAAATTGGCTCAGAAAACACTCAGCTCACAGGTTTACTCTGTTCGTGATCTCTTATTAACATTGACACAATACAATAGAATTAGTTTTCCTTCAGATCATCCTGTTATAGTCTGTAAACATGTGTGGGGGGCCTGAATGATGGAGCGCGTAATTTACTACTGGCTCTGTGTGGGGAGGGCGGTGTTTTAAAGAGATTAATCCAGAGGTAGCCGCGTCAATATGGCTTTATTGGTAGGTACTGTTTGTGCGGCTTTTGCAAAGGACAAGACAACATGGGTGAATGAGAAGAACTGGAAAATAACTGGCTACATCACCTCGTGACTAAACTCTCACTCCATTCATTCATTCACTCATCCGTCCATCCCTCCATCCATTCACCCATTCATTAGTCTTATTAGCCTACCATACACAAAACATAGATCATAGATTAATACATACCAAACATGCTTGGCGACATCAATAATTGGCTTAATGACTTGTGGTTAAAAAGAGAAAAATACAGCTCTGCCTACCGTGCACAACAAATTTCAGCCGAGGTGACTTTCCGACGATAACCGTGGCAAAAAGCGACAGCAGGATGAAAGAATTCATCTTTCTTGAAGCTCTGCCGTGTGTAGCTGGGTTGATAAATGATTTCACTGTACGAAGCGCTCCACAAAATCCCTCTTCTTCCCTTGCAGCCGCCTTTAAGGTCCCTCCCCGATCTACTGCGTCCCGGATCTGTGCCACCGACTGCTGGTCCCAGTCCTATCTTGTCCGTCTGCTCCGCCGGCAGTTCAGTTCGGAGAAGTCGGGGTATCAGGCTCCACCTCGGAAACAAAAGGCAAAGGGGGGAGTGTAGTCTTCCACGGGGCGCAGTAATGAAAAGTGGGATTGCAAAAATTGCCAACAAACACACCACTTTTGGCTGACAATTACATGCGTGTAGGATTAGGCGTCATACCTGTTGCTGATAGTGAAAGATGATGTTAACAGATATTTTTGCATCTGACTGTACCTTTAAAAACGATGTTACTCCTCTTGTTTGTTTTTTCATTGATTTTGTTTTCATTTTACATCCGTCCATCCAGGTTCCAGCCTTTTAAAATTTCTAATTCAATTTTTAATTCAGGCCAGAAATATAATAAAATAAACAATTAATATGTCCTTATGCATATACACACTTACTGCATTTCATAATGTCACATTCATTTCAGAGATGATGTATGATATATGAGCCTATATGCTATTTTCAAGGCCATTTTATGTTTGCACACAAGCCCTCACACCAACTGCCAATAATTATATTGCCTCAGCAACTGCTTCTACTGTAATGTCTAATCAATATGTGTCAATAGTGCCTGAGTGCCTGAATGGGAATGAATCAGCAGTTTGGCTCTGCTGTGCTTGCATTTGTGAAGTTAATTGAGTCAAATTTGAAAAATTGGACCACTCCAAATGGCAAATGCCTGTTAGTGGAAGCAACTAAACAGATGCTTCCATTTCCATGAGCTTGCTCTCTGTGTTAGGCACCCTCGAAAGCCTCATTTGGGTTTCTGTGAGAAATTTCTGAGCAGCAAGCTTCTAGCAGGGAAAAATCAGCATGAGGCAATTCTGAAAAACTGAGGAGAGGCATTCCTGTATTCCCTCAATTCATGAGGCACTATATACCACACGCAGGTGGGTCCTTGGTAGAAACAAACCTGTAAAAACCCAGGGGGGCAATTTCCTTTTTTTATCATCTTTCAAATGCCTTAATCGTCTCTCAATGTTTCCCCTTAAATCAAGACCTTTGACTTCGGTCAATCAGTCAGGGATGTAACCCTTTGCATACAAATGTAAGAGCAAACTCAGCTCTGCAGGAATTCAAATTCAGTTGTTAAACGTATTAAACTTACTCATTACACCACACACATTTAAGCTGAATCACGAAAGGTACACAAGCTTTAAAAAGAGATTTTGTTCCCTTGTTAACAGGGTGAATTTGAGATATTTAGGGTTTAAATGACTTTTAACAGGACGGATAAACACGTGTATATAGTTAGTTTGAATGTCAGTTGGACCAGCAAGTCTCAACCAGGGGTCCTTGAGCCCTGTCCCCAAAAAAATGTGGAATATTTAAATTTTACTATTATTTCATTCACTAGAAGTTGGCTTAATGAGGGAACGTATAACAATTACTATTCTGTTCATAGGTTTTACAGTCTACACTGCCAACTACAGACAGTTATGGAATAACTTAATCTCATCAGACGATTATCCCTGACATTACATATCAAACACGGGTCCGTGGCCTGATGTGTGTCAATTTAGGGGTCCTTGACACCAAACAGATTGAGAACCACTGAGTTAGACAACAGTTAATACGCATCAGTTAGATGTTTTGAGTCAAAGGATTGATCTTATTTATCAGTCACTGAGCGTCTTCCTCGCTTTTTACTTGCCTTGCTGGCTGGGTTAATTTCAGTTATCCCTACTGGGAATGAAATCACATATGACCTCACTCAGCAGTGATGTCATGCTGCATTTAGCAGTCAGTGTGATGATGAGGTGGAAACATTTCAACCACTAGATGGTAGCAAAAGCACGCTTTGTTTCACCACCCCAAGCCAACAATTCTGCCTCCTAAATCATCAACAGGGGTCTGCTGTCTCCTTCAGCAGCTTACTCCACTGATCAGCTGTCTCTTGTAGAAGGTTCTTTGGTGAAATCACCTGGCATGCTTTTCCTTTGATGGTTACAATTTCAGGAGAAAAAGAAGAAGATGACTTAATTAGCTAGTTTTCTTCCAGTGCATGAAAACATGTCTGGAAAGTGGATTGAATGGATGAGACATTAGCATTATCAGACTATTGTTTTTTTATGTATTTGTTCATAATGATTGAAGGCAAACGTATATGATTCAAATTTAAACAGTCGCCCCACCACCAAAATAAAGAAAACACATCTTTTACCAGGAGAAAGCTCAGCTAAATCTAACATTTTCTAATGCTGTTAAATGTAAGTAATATAGATTAGGGATAAAATAGTAATAAATGACAATGGTCAGTGAAAATGTGATTATTTGTTTGCAGCCTAAATTAAAAAAGCACATTTCATCTCAAAGCTAACAAAATAAGTTAATTGTAACTACAAAGGGCAAAAACACAAATGGCAATTAAAGGTAGCCTATAGCTTAATTGGATGGCAAACCTTAAATGAAAACACAGTAATCCATGATTGAAACAGGTTGGACATTCACACAATCCAATTGGAAATAAAAGAGGTTGAAATTCAAATTAGTGGTGGTGTGTGTGTGTGTGTGTGTGTGTGTGTGTGTGTGCACAGGCTCTGTCATCTTCTTAATAATGAACCTAAGACTTTCCTCTTTAATCCAAACGCAATCAGACTAAAGGCATCACAAAACGAAAACACCTAAAGACAATTGATGCAAATTGGTATATGCTTGTTAAATATAATGAATTTGTGGTTTTAGCACCACTTGCTGGTGAAAATCAATATAAACCAGTAGACTGCAGAATAACACTGGAAATAAAACATGATTTTCTGTTCAACGCAGGTGCAAGATTATGCATTTAATATTTTGCTAATTTGTTTTTTAGTTATCTTAGATTTACAGAGATGAAGCAATGTGATTTAAAATTCAATATTAAATACATACATAAGTCACTTTATGAAACCGAATTGCTGCAAAGCTTTAAAAACATCTCACCTTTAAAAACATATTTAACATGTAAATAACCATTTACAGTTGCAGTGTGGATAGCAATGTCAATCAATCCTGCACTTTGGTCCAAAGTGAAATATCATGAAAGCCACTGGATGGATTGCCATGAAATTTGGTACAGACCATTATACTCCAAAGAGGATTAAACCAAATTGTTCTTGGTTGATTCCCTGACTTTTTTCTCTAGTGTCATCAAAAGGCCAAAATTTCCAATTGTGCTACCCGGCCCAAGGGAAACCATGACATAACACTGAAGGATTGTATTTACCAACCCCCGGAGGATCAGTTAACAATCAGAAGCAGGGATAGTGACTGAACAAACAGATTTTTTGTTTTCACAAACACGTAGGAACGGTCGAGCTGGTCATCTACTAATAATAGGGTTGATGGTTCGATCCCCAGCTCCTCCTGTCGACACGTTGTCACATCAAATTGTTCTTGATTGCGCCAGCTTCCAGACTGCTATCATGTACACGTGTATCCAAGTACTTAATTAACTTGAACTTTTAATTCAACTAAAAGACCAAAAGTCTTATGTTAAGGCAGAAATTACATCAGCATTTAGCTTAAAGCACAGCTGAGCCTGAATACAGCTGAGTTCGACTTAGACAGGTCAGGCCTGACAATGTAGATCTGAACCACTAAAAACTGCCACCGCACCAGACAAACCCTTTTGAGGAAAGTACCAACATGACCTTTCCTCCTCGACACTGGTGGTAGAAATGTGTTTTTATTCATAAAAATAACATTTTTATTTTCTGGTATTTAATAAAAATTGTGTGACTAATATTACAGTATTTATTGGGCAAACACGAATGTCTCCCTCCCCCTCCCTAGAAGCCTTTACAATGATTAGGGTTTTTTCAGAAGATGAGTTAATATGTAGAGTCATGCCCACTTCTGTCGCGGTAATTCAGCTGGAAAGGTTTTTTCTCCTCTCTCTCATCTTTTCAAGGACCTCTCGTCACCGCTCATCTCCTCGCTGAAGGGCTGTAGAGACCACCTTCATCCAGTAGGTCAATTCCAGCTGAGTCAGAACAGTAGAATGGTGGTTGAGACAGTGAGGGCTGCAGGCAGAGTTAATTAAGACTTTTTCAAGACCAAAATAGCAAAGACTATCATTCCTAATGCACCGTAAAATCTGTAACTAAAAAAGAGTTGATTTTACTTTTAAAAATCTAGGAAACCGATTACCTTGAAAAAGGTAAGTGAATGTAACTAGAAGTTATGTAAACTTAATGTTGACTTATGTTTACTTATATTTACTTTTAGTTAATACATGTTGTGAAGCTGTTAGAACTTAAAAATGACATGTGTAATGAATAAGGTCTTATCGATGAATAGATATCAAGATCCAGTATAGGTTTTGCACTGATTTGTCTCCCATTCAAACAAATCAGTGAATGAAAATTTACATTTTAGACTGAAACCTGTAAATAATATTTTTCTTTTAGATATATATTTTTAATTTACTTGGTAAAGTATATATTTGAAAGGAAGATTTTGAGACAATAATAAAAATAAGTGTATTTAGAAACAATCAAAAGTGCTCCTTCTTACTTGTTATTCTATCCCCAGCACTTTTCTTTCAGAAACTGCAGCCACATGAATATTCAGCTGTTCCACTCTTGCTGTTAGCTGCTTGTAATTTAGGTGACCTAATCATTTAAGCCTATTCCCCTGTCACTCTGGATAACAGAGTAAGCCGAATGCCTACTGCGTAAAGGTAAAATGTGTCTTTTGTTGGAAAGAAATGCTCCCATCTTTGCTATTTAACAAGAGGAGGAGCCTGAAACTAACCTAATAGCAAATGCGAAGAGACCATTATGTTCTCAGTGATTCATGGAAGGGGGAGTGGCTTCTAAACACCACTTTAATCTGCTCCACTGGCTTTCTGTCCAATGGGAGCAAATAGTTGTATTAAAATAGATAATATGACAGGCCAAGCTGGGGAGGATAGCACCCGCCAGACAGACCTATATAACAGATTGAGACATGCAGAGGTAATCCAAAAGGGTTTAAATCTCTGCTCATACACGTGATTATCTGTTTTTTTTCTTTATTTTGTGTGGGTTATTCTGGGCAACTGCATTAGATGAAAAGATGATTTTCTGTTGAGTGAATCCACTCTGAGCACTGCAAGTCTCTAAACTGTACTAAAGTGAAGGGAGGGTAATTCATTGGTTAACATTTAGCTTAGCACTCTCAAGTGCAATATTCTGTTTTAAACGGAGAGTCAGCAATGGCGGATATGCAGCAGGGGAGACAGGGAATGTCTGGAAATGTCTAAAGAGATTCATTTGTATGTCAGCATGGGGACATGTGGCTCTGAAAAAAAACACAACAGACACAATGGTATTCCTCACACACATAATCCTTCGTCTTCACTCAGAAAAAAAAAGACAAATGTGCATTTGTGTGGCTTACTGCCAGTTGTAGCTCCGTTGTCTTACAAAGGGGCAACAAGGCCACTTTTTGTCTTAAATTGAACACAGAGTCCTCACAATGGACTCAAAGCAGAGAGATTAAGTGCTTTGGTTATGCAAGAAAATGTGTCCTCTTGCCAATTTCCCAACAATGGACTCATTTCAGATGAAGATCCACTGAGAGATTGGTTTTAAGATGATTGGATCAGTCCCCCCCCCCCCC